ATAAATTATTATTCAATCGTTTGTTATTTTTATTTGTATTGTGAAAAGTGATCTAGGTGTACATTTTTAGGTTACAATGATTTACGAAATGTCGTTTTGAGCGTGTTTTTTGAAGAATGCATCCCTTTCGTAAATCGAGGGATACCTGTTTGTCGAAACTGGCCCAGGGTTTGCTTGCGTTGAACCCAAAGCTGCTTAAATAATGCACTCCTCCAAAGGGCAAGCGGCTGATAGGATGTGTAACAAATACTTTTATTTATGTGCAGCAACAGATACACGGCGAAGACGTATTGTCTGCTTATTTATTTAGTGATGATTTTAATCTGATTTGGCCTCAGAAATGGGAGCAACTATGCTTTGGCTGTTGGCTTTGCATTGTGATCTGTATGCATTGGCAACCACTGTCCTGACACATGAATTAAACATGCCGACCAGCAGGCAGACTGTCAATTTCCTATTTCATTACCTCAAACGGTATTAAGTAATGGTTTTGCGTTTCATTGGTCTGTAAAAATGAATCCAGATATCGGCTTAAATCAAAACAGAATCACAAACCCAAACGAGTCATCGAAAAAAACTAGTCATTTTATATTCCCTTTAAATCTCTATAAAATAATTTTAAAATACTGCAATTCTTCAAATGTTTCTCAACCAATCATGAATCATTGTTAGTTTTTCTTCCACAAAATGCCAGCGCCCAATCCGTTTTTACAGAACTGGCGATGGAAATTATAGCATGAGCAAATGTTATTTACAAGCCGCCACCACCACCCGCGTTGGTCGCAGAGCTGCGGCATCTATTAATATCACGTCTTACTTCCTCTACCTGCATAAATGTGATACAGTGCTTGGACATAACTCTTACTGCACCCGTGTAGTAAATGTAACTACTTTATGGAACACTGTACAGTGCTGGCAAGTACCCAGTCTTATCACGATTATTTTAATAATCACTTTTGTTATACTGTACTCGTTCACCCAGAAACGCCTCTCAGAGGCTCAAGATACTTTTTCAGGAGTCCTGCCGACTTTTGGCAGTATTGCTATGTGTAATACCAACCGAGTAATTTTCAGTGAATTTTCCAGCACGAGGATGTTTGGCTCATGCCAGTTTCATTGCATGGCTTTGTTTGTCTTATCACTGGGGTGGCACCGATCTCTGTGGAATTCCCCGAATCACTTGGACATTTCACGATCCTATGGCAGCAGGGGCCAACCTCTGCATCGGGGGACCACTGGTGAATCTTCACGAAATGGTGCAGCATTCATTTTACTAACTGGGGGAGAGGGATGTTGTGGGGAGGCAATTCCTGACCAGGACGTCAACTCACGACGTTCAGGGTGAATCAAGCAGTCTCACCGCAAGCACCACCCGGCCAGACTCATAACCACACCTAGCCACGTATAAACACGGAGGAATGAAGATTCATTTTGGCATTTATATTGCATATACAAAAGTCACTTTAAATCTTTTATCGCAGATCAATTCACTCGGGTCTTTGTTGTTGCATTTGGAAAATTTGGTCAAATAATTTCAAAAGAAGTCTGGATTGTTTTAGATTTTAAAAAATCTTCGCATAGAACAAGATGAAGACACTTATCCGTGCCCCTTTATCCACTCCTATTATGCCTTCCCTCAAAGCGGTCAACTGAAACTCCTATTATCCCGATGGAATAAAACCTTGGTCATTTGGACTTGAATAAAATATTTCTCTTACTTCTAAATGGAAGCCCGGTGATTAAGGCTTTCCCTGATGAATGCAGGAACACCGCTATTTGTCAGTGTTTACAGCACGCTTATGAACTCGACTATTGCGTCTGTAGTTCAATATTCTAATATCCGTTTACCAAAAAAGTTTCACCCACCACTCGTGTAAATATATGAACAAGTATGTATATTATATTATTATTTAATGTACGTGTTACTCACATGTTTTCTGTTAGCTTAAGACGTCTAGGGGAAAGAGTCCAAACGGAAAGTATGGATTTTGTTAAGCCTGGCTCTGAGTCACAGACCCGACTCTCGAGATACAGAAACCTTCCGTCCATTACTCACGCATAACGTGCATGTGTACACGTTCACAGTACTTGTTGGCTTACTGATTCAACACATACATATAGATCACACAACCGTGACTACGCTGTACTGCCCAATACGAAGTGAATGTAGATTATGTGAGCACAAGACAATAGGCGCCACTAATAACATAATGTATCCCATGAACACACCACACATATTACCATATAAATCTCCATTAACAGTTTAACAATCTGAGTCAATGCCATGTGAAAATAGAATCTACCGCCCTACATGGCACCGGGGCCTATCATCCCAACGGGGTCAATATGAGAACCACTTTCTGGCGACGACAACGGTGGTTGTCCTATGGATGACACTCACCCCCACCATAGGAACATGGAGTTTCCACCACTGGCTCAGGGCTGTAAAGCGGAGATGAGCACGGCTTCAGTTGCTTACTTGAGCAGGGCATACTTTTGAATGTTGACACAGACCTACATGGGGCGCTATCGCACCACAGTGCTCTAATTTATATACAGTACCGATCAATGTACTTCCAAGACCCTGAGGCCAGGGAGTGATATCGCTGCCTCTTGCGCGCTGTACTGCCGGTGACATAGCCCAGCAATCGCGTGTTCTCTGCTTGTCGCAGAGGTTCGTGGTTCTAGACCGACAGGCCCATCTGGTTACTTTCGCGGTGTGTATTAACCGTGAACCACTCCGCCGTTATGCTTCACAGTGGGCGGGGTACAGATCCTGAGACGTACATCGAAAAATAGCGAGCCATCGAGCACCTAAGCCATAATCCAAATCTTGCCAAATGTTGTCAAATTTTAAACATGACAATTGGGAATACCCATAGCAACATCGTCCCCTGCTATTAAATTACAGTAGCCCCTGTTCCTTCGCGATAGCCTCACACTATCAGAACGGCGCAAATACCAGCAAAAGCACTAAACTCGTATCGCTGATATTAAGACCGCCCATAACTCCAGTCACACTGAGGGCAGAGGAGCTGAGGAAATCATGGTGAGCCAGGAGAAAGGATGAGGCTGTCATCCCGGTCAATGGGCACAGCACGGGAGAAGAGGCGTCCTCCCCCCACAGCGTGAGGGGAAGGCAGGCCGGTGTGAGGACATTCGTCTTTACCGGGCGGCCACGCCACCGCGTGCGACTGATTGCGCCTCTGAGTAATGAGCTGCAACGGTGGCGCGATGGGGCTCCCGAGGGCACGGCTTCTTATGCGGGAGGCCTTTGGTAATGCAGAGGCCACGCTTCATCGCTTTTCCAGATAAAAACAAAGATCCCCCGATAGGCCTTTAACGCCAAACTCTTTGGGGTCAGTGTTGTTAACGAGCACCTATTAAGGTCGGCACAGCACACGAGGGGGTGGGTGGCTAGCACCACAGCGCTGTTTACACACCGCACTAGGTATGAATTTAAGGCTGATTTGGCCGACGGGAATCCCAGGATCTGGTTGAAATACCAGATTAATACACACACACACGCAGTCTCGCATCTCCAGCACAAGGACGTGTAGATGAAAACACTGCATCGTGTTGAAACCACTGTCCCAATGATGATTACGTCGCTAGAGCATCAATGGCGAGTGGATATCAGTAAAATAGGTCTGGACCAGGGTGGTGAACGAGCAAAACCCCCCATGACCGACACGGGGTAGCGAGGCCTTCATCCAGCAGTGGATTCACAAGTCTATAAATCACTAGCCTTTTGACCGTCCAAAGCACGGGTGTATTTCAGTAAATCTGAGACTTGCAAGCAATAAGCAGACCGCGACGTGATATTTATTGCATCAATTGACGTGCAATTTGTAAGGCCGCGGTGACACAGACTCGTTAAATGTAAAGGTTCATCATGACGTCCTTTTAACTTCGATGTCTCAACAGCGTGACGGAGATCGCGTGACGTGAGGGTTCTTGCCTTTGTCGTGAGGGCTGTAAAACTTCAAATCGAGATTGAGGGCTGTGAGTTGACGCCGAGGGGGGGGGAGGAGGCGCCTCGCCCCCCCATGTGGAGTGACGTCACCCGCTAATTATTATCAATGGCGGGGGGGGGGGGTCATTTGGAAGACGTCACCACTTCACGATTGAGGGGGGCTGTTCCATGTGGAGTGACGTCACCTGCTCATGATTATTAATGTGGGGGGGGGGGGGGGTTCTACATGGAGTGACGTCACCCGCTCATGATTATGAATGAGGGGGGTGCTACATGGAGTGACGTCCCCCGCTCATGATTATTAATGAGGGGGGGGTCCATGTGGAGTGACGTCACCTGTTCATGATTATTAATGAGGGGGGCTGGCCAACGTGGAGTGAAGTCACGCGCGGGACACACATTCTTGGCTCATTATATTAGTAAATTATAGTAGTACATTCTAATTATATTTGTACCGGGCGAGAGACCACGGAGGATCGGGCTCGCTATCGAAATATAGCCCCCAGAATAAGGGTCTCTGCCCGAAACGTTGAGAACTTGTGTTTCAATGGGGCGGTGCTCATCTCCTTTGGCGGCCCTTAAGGTTGGCCATTCTTCGTTCCTGTGGCGGGGACAAGTTTCCCTACAAGGCCCTCTGTAAGACAACCACTGTGACCTGTGCATCACTCTCCGACACCACGTTAAGGGGTTAAATGAACGGCTGGTCTCATCAACCATGATCAATCCACTGCTAGACGAGGGCCTCGCTGCCAAGCTCACCGCGCACCTGCGCATGCCCCGATCTAATCGCTCCATCCGCTCGGATGGTCGTCCTCACTCTTTGGGCTGCCACTTAAGCATTTCTGACCATCGTCCATGCTCCCTTCAGCAGCCGTGGCGTGTCCGCTCAAGGCCACTTCTCTGAATAATGTGGACGATGTAAATGACCCGTGTAGGAGCTCTAATCAATGTGTTCCTCTCTCGGTCTCAGTGTAATCGTAAGGCTGCTGCTGGGGGCTGCTGCTGCTGCCCCGGGTCCTCTCACCTGGCAAACCGCAGTCGGCGCAGCACTCGTTCCCCGGCCTCCGGAGCAGCTCGTGCAGGGACTTTTTATTTCTCTCGCGGTCGGCCATCGGAGTCTCCCCACCACCTCCACCCAGCACCAACAGCAGCACCAACAGCAGCTACAGCAGCAGTTCCGGCAACAACAGCAGCACTGGGCAGGACCGAGCTGGGTTCTGGCTCGAACCGACCCGAGGCAGCTCCGGGACTGATTTCAGTCGCTGCCGCCCGGACTCCGGCGGAGCCGAGCTGCGTTCCCCTCAGCGGCAGGAGGAGGAGTCACGGGCCGGAGGGGCCGGCGAGAAACCCCGACCCGCCCCGCTCTGGGCCCCGACCCGCCCCGCTCTGGGCCCCGACTCGCGCCGCCGCCGCCGCCGCCGCCGCCACGGGGAGCGCGGAGCGAGAAGCGCGTGGGGGCCACGGAGCCCGCCAGCCGCGTGTACAGTGCGGGCGGCGCGCGCTCGACGACGGTCAGCAGGGCGTGGGGGCGGGGCTCCGGCGCCTCATGAATATTCATCAGCAGAGCGGCGCTGATTGGGCAGCCGCTCATGAATATTAACTCCGAGGGTGGGGAGGAGGCTGTGAGGGCACATGCGCTTTGTGATTGGCTTAGGGCGGTGATGGCGTCCACGTGCTCTTTAATATTAATTAAAAGGGCGGGGCTTTACACAACACCTCATGAATATTAAGCAGCAGACGGGGCGTGAGCGCACGAGCTCGTGAATATTACCCACGGCTATCGCGACCAATATCCATGATAATAATGAACACGTTCCTTCGGAGTGGGCAGGCAGGAACTTGGTTGGACAGCGCATTCGTGCACGACAGACAAATATGCACGACAGACAGACAAATAATCCAGTGGCGGCTTCTGCAAAATCTCTCAGGGGGGGCAAATGTCTGGATGATTGATAAGGATAAGGTCCACCCATGCAATGAATAAATTAACAGCTTAAGCATGTAAAGGCAACTTCACTTCTTTAATATTAATGAAAAATAAAGTGACTCTTACAATACATCTTGTTTGTTTATATACTCACTATTAAAACAAACCACTCAAGTTTATTTTATTAAAGATTCCACTCGGTAGCGATAAATTATATTGTTGGATGAAACGTGCTTACGTATGATGACGTAAGCACGTATGATGACGTAAGCACGTTAGTGCGAGCCCTCCCGGAGCCATAGAGAATGCATTGGAGCGCCCCCGTTCGAAAAAAAACATCTTTGAATGTAAGTCTATGGGGCCACTCGGGGCGATTCTCAGCCGGAGTGAAATCGCCCCAAAAGAGGCGGTACTCCACAGAACGTGACATGACGCTGATTGGACTATATCCAGAGGCTGACAGTGACGGCTAGCGTGACTGTGGTTGAATGACATTGGTGGTGCGTCGCCCAATCGCCCTAATGAAGAAACCGCCCCTGAAATAATCCCTGGTGGGCAGTGTGGAACCTGTTGTTCCTACCTCTATAAAAGATAACTTGACTTGAGGTAGCCAGGCAGCCAGCCAGGTAGCCAGCCCCCTTAACTATCGGCCCCTCCCCCTTGCTTAGGCCCCTCCCCTTACCTCCCCCTTCCTTAGGCCCCTCCCCTTACCTCCCCCTTCCTTAGGCCCCTCCCCTGACCCTCCTTCCTTAGGCACCTCCCCTCTCTGTACCCGGTAGTAAGTCTCCACCAATCCAAGAGCTGTTTATATTATATATATTTATGCACGACAGTCAGACAGACAAAAAAATCCCTAGTGGGCAGTGTGGAACATATTGTTCCTTCCTGTATGAGGGTGTTTGTTTGGGGTGAGGGGTGTCAAGGAAGCTTGACACCCCTCACCTTGGAACCGGACCAGAGTTTGGTTATATTGAATTAAAGCTGCTGGCATTTTGCAGTTTCAGAAGACAATGAGGCTTGTGGATTGTCTGGGAAATAATGTTTTGTTTTAAAGTGGAGAGATAGATATATGCTGGAGACACATTGTCTGCTTTTATATTGATTTATTTTCCCTACGACATGATTATGTTGTGTCCGTAAGGGATAGAAATTGGTTTTGCGTCTTCATGTTAGAATCGTAATCTTTATTGGTGCTGGAGGAATCCGATGAGCTATGAAGCTCTTTTTCACAGATGTCTAGTAGGGGCGGATCAGCGAGTTAAAGGTCGCACTAATTATGAGAAATCACAGTGTGTGCCCTTCAAAGGAAAATTATATAACAGGTGACGTTTCGGGCAACGATCCTTCTTTATAGCACATATAACGGCCATGAATTGGATAAGAGTTGGAGAATACACTTTATACCATGGGGTCTGGTAAGAATACATTATTTAAATATTTCCTCAGTATAGTATTGAAATTGGCATATGTAGTTACTGCACCAGTTGCTCAACATTGTCTGATACACAACCCGTTCAGTAATCAAACAGATATTACCGTACTTCATCAAATAATTTGTACTAAAAGTAAAGTAAAAATGCTGCACACTGAATTATGGTTAACCTTTCTGTAGTGTGGTAATAAAACAACACTGCGTAACACATTTTTTTGTTCATGCGTAGTGTTATTTTCTAATTGCTTATGCCTCAAAAGTACTGAAAATTGCTATTCCCCACAAATTTTGCTATTGTGACCAGGACAGTGATATGTAGAAATTTACCTATTTTCCAGAACATTCCAGATAGATTCAGTGCTGAGTAAACTTGGAGTAACTACTAGAACATTCTAGATCTTTCCAGTAATATAAATAGAAGTATAAATATAGGGGCCTTAAGCCCACCAGTTCAGCTTAGTTCCAGCTGCCTAAGTGGATATCTGCATTTTTCTGAGATGGCATCAAGAGGATGCAAGCATCCGGCAGACGCATTTTGCTATGTCTGTGGCCAATTTATCAAGACAAGAGCGAAAAAGTACTCTGTGGAAGCATCTGCTAAGATGTGTGAGGCCTACAAGGCATATTTCAGCATGCCTGTTGGGGATCAAGACAAACCCTGGGCACCTCATTTCACCTGCGAGCAATGAAAAAAAACTCTGGAAGGTAAGATGGACAATTGTTGCTCGGAATTTTACGTTATAAAATTTGTTAAGATTTTTTTTAATTGTAAGTTTTTAATTTTAAAATGTTATAATTTTCAATGTTATTGAAAAAATATATTATATATGAAAAATGTTGGGACAATATCTTACACATTAGTCATGGGTGAAATAAATTTATTTTGTAGGATGGTACAGAGGGGAAAAGAGTGCCATGAAGTTCGCTATTCCAAGAATTTGGCGGGGACCCACTGACCACTCAAGCAACTGCGACTTTTGCATGATGGACCCTTCCAAACGTTGGACTGGCAAGAATGCACCTGCTATCACGTACTGTGACCTTCCTTCATCCATCGCCCCGGTGCCACACTGCCATGAGCTCCCCATACCCACTCCTCCAGAGAGAGAGCAGCCGTATTTCGAAGGGAGCAGCAAGTCAGGGAGCGAGGTAGATGTTGTAGATCCAGATGACAATTTCAGAGGTGGAGCTGAGGAGAGAAACCCATACTACCCCAAACAAAAAGAGCTCAACGACTTGATCAGAGATCTTGGTCTTACCAAGTCCAATGCCGAGCTTTTGACACCTAGGCTCAAGCGGTGGAACTTGTTGGATAAAAGTGTGCTAGTTGTAGATCAGAGGAAGCATCACCAACCTTTTTGCAGCTTCTTCACCCGTCAAGATGGGCTCTGCTTCTGCCACAATGTGACCAGTCTGTTTGAGGCAATCGGAATCGCCTGTAATCAGAATGAGTGGCGCCTCTTCATTGACAGCTCATCCAGGAGCCTCAAAGCCGTGCTGCTCCATGATGGTAACAAGTACCCGTCTCTTCCTCTGGCTCACTCGGTGCACCTCAAAGAGGATTACAACAGCATCAAGACCTTGCTGGACGCCTTGAAGTATAATGAGTACGGCTGGGAGGTCATTGGAGACTTCAAGATGGTGGCATTCCTGATGGGTCTCCAAGGCGGTTTTACCAAGTTTCCCTGCTATCTTTGCCTTTGGGACAGCAGGGACACCAAGGCGCACTACCACAGACGGGACTGGCCACAGCGGACCGAGTTCTCTGTGGGGAGGAACAACATCAAGTGGGATCCACTGGTGCTGATGCCACCACTGCACTTCAAATTGGGCCTTATGAAACAATTTGTCAGAGCTGTAGATAAGGATTCTAGACTTGAAGCTTTCGTGACTGCAAGGAATCATATTCTTAGGTGTTTTCGGTAAAGTCACGTAGGTAAAACATCAAAATTAATAAAAATAATAAAATATTAATTTTGATGTTTTACCTACGTGACTTTACCGAAAACACCTAAGAATATGTAGATAAGGAGTCGGCAGCCTTTAAGTACCTTCAAGACTTCTTCCCTAAGCTGTCTGAGACAAAGGTCAAAGCCGGTGTCTTCGTCGGACCACAGATAAAGAAGATCCTGGACTGCAATGAATTTCCCAAGAAGCTCACTCGTAAGGAGAAAGCAGCGTGGAACAGCTTTGTCGCAGTGGTTCGTGGCTTCCTGGGCAATCGCAAGGTCAAAAACGATGTGAAGAACTGCGGCACAATGGGCTGTAGGATGTCCTTCAAAGTCCATATCCTTGATGCTCATCTTGATAAACTCAAGGAGAACATGGGAGCAAACTCGGAGGAGCAAGGCGAGCACTTCCACTTGGATATACTGGACTTTGAACGCCGCTACCAAGGACAGTATAACGAGAACATGATGGGAGACTACATTTGGGGGCTGATTCGTGAAAGTGATTTACAGTATAATCGTAAATCTCGAAAAACTACTCGCTTGTAAATATTTTGTAGTAATTTTTGTATTTAGTATAAATACATGTTAATTGTGATTCATATGTTGTTCTTTTCTGACTTTATGTGAACGAAAAGACACAAATTCGACCCGTTATCTCATGGAAAATAGGTAAATTTCTAAATATGACTGTCCTGGTCACAAAAACAAAGTTTGCGGGGAATAATAGCCATTTTCTATACTTTTTAGGCATAAGCAATTACGAAATAACACTTACTACCCAGGAACAAAAATTGTGTTACATAGTGCAATCATTGCTTAAACCACTGACTAATTCCTGGAACCAATTATGATTTAAATGGGATTAAAGAACCTCTAAAGAATTGTTAGGTTTAAAGCTGTGAACCAAAACTCATTTTAACGTACTTGTATATCTCGCTGTTCAATTCTATTGAGATATTAAATATAATGTCAACGAATGTTTTCCAATAGGAGGTACACATATACAAACCTACAAAAATGTCTCGTAAGTCCTCCTTTTCTCCTGTAGATTACAAACATGTTGTACAACATGTACACTCAACACAAGGAGTGGCTTTAAAAGTTGTATAATCTCCTGTAGATGTAGATGCCACTGGTTCTTCACGTTCTGCATATGTAGATGCTGCCACTGCCATCTATTGCGCGGCGGTTGAACTTACGACTCTTGGTCCTAACAGACAACTGGACATACGGAGAGATTTGTTAGTATCTCTGAAAGTTCATAAATCGAATGTTCGTCGGTAGAGGTGACCATCTAATGCTAAATTGCAGCATTGTTGCACTATATTTCCCGGCTGGTTGGCTGACTGGCGCGTGGGCAGGCTAGTTCCCGGTGATGACGTCTAAACTAAACTATAAACTATTTTTATTTTACCAGGTAAGGCCCACTGAGCGATGTCAGTTCTTTTTCAGAAACGACCTGGCCACAAATAACAGCTCAACGGAGTGGCTGTTCGTGTGGAAATGTATAGCAGCCACATGCCCGAAACGCGTGTTTCTAAATGTGGAGGGAAAAAGTGGAGGACCCGGAAAAAAATTCACGCGACCAAGGTGGGTGAGAGAGACACGCACACTCCAAATATACAGCAGCAGGCATCAGGGTCGGGATCGAACCCACGACCTCCTGCATACCAGGCGAGTCAGTTAACATCTCGCCACCGCCCACCTGCAATCCCACAGCGCTGAGCAGGGCTCGTGCGTGGTTGACCTCACGCCCCCACCCTCCTCCATATTTCACGCACAAATCGGCAAATGCACGGGCTGTGCTCGTAAACATATAAATAACTACACATTGCCCACTCTTTCCACGCACGCGAATGTTCAGTCAACGGCACAGGTAATCCAACAGAATTTGTTCAAACAAACAAACTACGCTGGCTTCAACCTCAGGGTCTCATCAGCGGTCACATCAGTGTTAATTGGCATTTGTTATTGGGCAGAGCACTCGGTGGCGCATGCTTGTGTAAGTGTAATGCGAGCATAAATGGGGTGGTTGCTGGCCTCCGCGCCAATCACACGGCCCGGAGCATTGGGGGGCGGAGCCTGGTCGGCGGAGCATGTGGGAGGAGCCACTGCTCACCTCGGCTCCAATGGGAGACGAGGTGAACAGGGGGCGGAGACGGGGGCAGTACGGGAAGGAAGAGTCAGGGTCACGTGATGGGAAGGATATAGGGAGAGAGCCGGAAGAGATCGAGGAGTTGGAACGGAGCGAGAATAGGGGAAGCCACGCTGGGCAGTGCGCCATCTGCCACGTGGTCGAAGACCTACGCACACCGTTGGCCAGCGGTGTGCGTGGAGTAGACGGGGCTAGCGGTGTGTGAGGGGCTAGCAGAGTGTGCACGGCACACGTGGCTTGTGCGACGCTTCCCGCCCTCTCCGACACGCGGCAAGACGCCGCCATCTTGGGTGTGGTCGGGGACGAACGGCGGGAAGCCGCCATCTTGTCGCCTCCACCGCGGGAAGCCGCCATCTTGCCCCCGCCGCATGGAGACGCCATCTTGTCGCCACCGCGTGGAACACCTGCAGCGGGAGACGGCGATTCGGGGACCCGCAGCCATCGTCTGACGACGGTTAAGGAGTTCTCAGTTGGTGGGGATTGGAGTGCATTTGCCTGCCGTTTTGAGGCGGCGGTCTGATCCGCCAAGTGGACGGATGCGGAAGCCTTGGAGGTCCTGCCGACGCTCCTGGACGACGAGTCTGTGAGATTCTTCCGCTCCATCAAGGCTGCGAGGAAGACGACGCTGAAAGGAGTGTTCGAGGAAATGGCGGAGGCTTACGAGCCCCCAGACGACGCACATCGCAGATTCGTGCGGCGGCAACGGGCACCAGAAGAATCGCCTGTGGCTTTCCGGGGCGCTGTGTTAGAGCTGGCTATGGCCGCATATCCGGACACGGAGCCCGACTTGCTGGAGCCTTTAATATTGGGCAAGATGTTGGAGCTGTCCAGGGATTTGGGCATCCCCATGCCGGTGTGCGGCCATGAGCAGCTGACCTCCCGGATGGCGGCTAAGTGCCTGGATGCGCAATTCAACCTATGCCGGTGGAAGCAGGTGACGGCCTGGACGGGGAGCCCCAACATCAAAGGTGCTGCCGCCGGGTGGGATCCGTCCAAAGCCGTCTACGTACGGGACGAGAGGGGGCCTGAGGAGCTGGCGGTAGCATCGGCACAGTGGGCTACTCGAGGGGGAGCGGAGTTGCGCTCGGGCCCACCGCTGCGGGATCGGCAAGACAGAGGGGGAGCCGGACGACGAGCCGACTCGTTGTGCTTTCGCTGCGGCCGTCGGGGACACTTCGCGAGGGAGTGTTGGGGTCGCTCTCGGCCGCCTCTCCAGCCGGAGGTCCCTGCCAGGGAAGCGACGCGGGAAAATCAACCACGTCAGACGGACCGGCTGTGATCCTGCCAGACACAGGGATTCCTGCACCGGGTGGGCCTACCACGGCGATGGGGACACTTGGCCCCGCTGCCCCTCCAACCCCGCCGCGGGTGCAGTTGCAGGAGGTCCCGACGACGGGCCTCTCTGGGGAACGAGACGCTGGGATTGACAGGCCTCCACCAGCGGCAGGCGGTTCCGGTCCCGCCGCTCCTAAAACCCTGTCAAGATCACGGTCTGTGCGGGGGCCGCCCCCCGTGCAGGACGGGCCGGCGACCCGCACTCGTTCTAAGTCCCTCCCCTTTCGTTAATTGTTGTTGTTCTAATCTCCGTTATGTCTTGTGATTCCTGATTGTCATGTTGTTGCTCGCATTATTGTTCTGCTGCAGCCGGGGACGGCTGGCTTTTTCATCAGAGGGGGGGTCATGTAATGCGAGCATAAATGGGGTGGTTGCTGGCCTCCGCGCCAATCATACGGCCCGGAGCATTGGAGGGCGGAGCCTGGTCGGCGGAGCGTGTGGGAGGAGCCACTGCTCACCTCGGCTCCAATGGGAGACGAGGTGAATGGGGGGCGGAGACGGGCGCAGTACGGGAAGGAGAAGTCAGGGTCACGTGATGGGAAGGATATAGGGAGAGAGCCGGAAGACATCGAGGAGTTGGAACGGAGCGAGAATAGGGGAAGCCACGCTGGGCAGTGCGGGAGGAGCGGCGCCATCTGCCACGTGGTCGAAGACCTACGCACACCGTCGGCCAGCGGTGTGCGTGGGGTAGATGGGGCTAGCAGTGTGTGAGGGGCTAGCAGAGTGTGCGGGGCACACGTGGCTAGTGAGTGACTAGCGGAGTGTGCGGGGCACACGGAGCGATCAGTGTGGCTGGCGGCGTGTGCGGGGCACACGGAGAGAGCGGAGCGGCCACCAGCGAGTGCGGGCCACACGGAGCGTGCGTGGGGCGCGCGGCGGAGGCGGCGCGGGTCCGGCCGAGGACCAGCGGGGTGCGATACGAAGAACCTAAATAAACGACAACGGAGACCAAGAGAGCCTGACAGAGTCGTTTATTACATAAGGAAACTCCTTGGAAACGTCAATTTTAGTTGAAGGTCGAACTCGTCCCAGATGCAGTCAGACCCACTTCTTCACCGTCGTCGTTCTCAGCCACAGCCAGCGCCCCGACCAAATGCCTCGTCCTCCTCTATACCGTACCTGTCAACCCCTTATCAGTGCCTACCTTATTACAGACCAATTCAGACTTTATATGTCACCGTGTGCCATTATATATATATCAACGTTCATCCTACAAATAAGTTCCATCACAAGGAAGAAACACATAGACACAAAATTATGTTACTAAACAAAAACTTTTTGTGTATTCATTTTAATGATTGGTGTCAATGATGCTACTTATCATGCTGTCTGTGATCTTGCATGCTGATGCTGCTTGCTTGATAGGGGCCGTCCATAAATGACGTCACGCGAATTTTTGACAATTTTTGACCCCCCCCCGTCACAAAAAGTCAGACACCCCCTAAAATATGACGTCACAAAGCACTGCCTCCCCCCAAAACGATATTTCCATTTTGAAAATAAAACATGCTTTAAATCGCTTTAAACTATTGTCATTTTAGTGCGTATTTAATGTGGCGCTGCACTCTGATGTTGTAGCAGAAAACATTTAATAAAAAGTAGATCTAATTAAGTAGAACGTGTTGTCTATATTTATTTAAAGTTGCGTATTTTGATGTGACGTCACATTTCTCACCCCCCCCCCCCTTCGTCACACATCGTTACAAATGTCTGACCCCCCCCCCCCCAGGTGCGTGACGTCATTTATGGACGGCCCCATACGTGGATGTACATACGGGGATCGCTAATCTCCAGAGTAAAAAAAAAATCTGTTGTACGACTTTTTTTATTTGGCCTAATATTTTTATTGCCCGTACTGAAACGGCTGTACGCCGTATGGACCTGAAAACTCAATGTCCCTGTGTAAGAATACGGGGTGCGGGGGTGGTAAACCGCGTGGGTGTAACAGCTGTGCCTTTTGTCTCCTGCGAACTGTGGCGAACAATAAAGTGTTGTTGTTATACTCGGGACCACGTGGTGCGGTGTCACGTGCCCCCAGCATGGCGGCGCCCATGGTGACATGCGTGTCCTCGGCCATGCAGCTGTAACTGAGCGCCGCCACTTGCTTGGCGATTAATCCGCGATCACCGGTACTCGCATAATGCTCGCGACGAAGAGATTACCAGGTAAATGGAGCGCTGTCTTTTACACAAAAAAACCGAGTGCACATTCTCCGGCGTTCCATGCCGGAAATGTGTTTGGCGTGCATGTACCCGGCAGTGGTGGTGCTGGTGGTGCTATTAGTGGGGAGCGGTAGTGTTGCGGCTAGCGCGCTGCGAACCCGGCGACCCGAGTTCGATTCCCGCTGACGGCCAACACCACAGTGGCGATTATCTGAACCGGTCCAGGGTCTCCCCTAGGTCGATTCGACCTAAAATGAGTACCTGGTGCGATCTGTGAGCATCGCCACTAAGGCGATCGGGCGTGGTGCTGGCCACCGACCCAACCCTTTCGTGTGCCGTACCGGCTTTCAAAGGTGCTGGCTAACAGCACTTGCCCCAACAGTCTATTAAGGCTATCGGGGGGGGGGGGGGTCTTTGTACATCATCCGCTATTCTCTATCCACTGCTGGGCGACGGCCTGCCCCACACCGCCGCCATTCACGGTCCAGCGATGAGACAAGTAGCACACTCCTGAGGATGAGCTGCTTTCATCACTCCGTGTCCGCGATGGTCCCTTTGAGCGATGTCTCTTGCCCAAGCCCATTTCGCAATTGTTCACTGAATACAGACGCGCATCACTACACAATCAATTATTCTCAGCGACAACTTTACAGTTCCTGGTGAAATGATACATTGCTGTGGTGTTGGTGTAACGCTGACCGTTTGATGTGGTAATGTTTAAAGTGGAGTTGGAGCGCTCTATTCCACCAAAGTGCCTCTGTGCGCATGTTTACCAGGAGCGCTGTGGCTGGGAGCCAGGTTGCGGGGAATAGTGAGTGCAAGGTCGCGATGTGCGGTCCCCGGTGGCCCGGAACAGCCGACGGACGCGAGCACCCAGCAGTCCGACAGGCTGGGCGAGGAGATCATCTCCACGGCGGAGCGACCCAGAGGGGAGTTCTCCCAGTCGGAGGTCTCCACAGCGGAGCTAGACAGGGGGCCGCTATCTTCAGAGGAGCACCACACGGTGGAGGTCCCCCTGGACGAGCTCTTCACGGCAGAGCAGCGGGCAACGTTGCTGCGGACTTTTAACGAGGCGTCGGGCGTGGAGCTGGGGGCCATGCGCGCGCTGCGGGGCCGCAAAGGCGCCAACGTGGCCGCGTTCCGCGATGAGCACGGCCCCTTCAGGGACCTGGACTCGCTCACCAGGCACGGAGAGCACCGACCCAGCTTGTGCGCAGTGCACACTGCACACATTAGACGTATACACTACGCACGCCGCACCCTGCGTACATGCACTGAAGGCACACACTGCATACATAATACATGCACACTGCGGAAACACACCCAAACATGTCTAGAAAGCCTGTTTGAAAGCGAATTGAGATTCAGTAAAGGTTCACATTGAACATTCTTACTAAACAGTTGCAAGAATGGTACTCATTTTTCCAACCCCATAGGCATGCTGGGCTGAATCTATAATCACTGTGGCGTCCGTGTGTTTGAGGGAAGCCCTCTATTAGCGGCACTTGGCTGTACTGATTGTGGATTAGTAAAGGAAATTTCTGATTATATGTTAGAGCGATATTAATAGAGGGAGGTTGCTGATGTTTTTTCCGCCCTCCAGAGTCCCCTACCTGAAGTACAAGTCGCTGTTCAAGGCATGCACCGTCCTCCTGCAGCCCAAGCTTAGCAGGGAGGCGGCACGGCAGAGCAAACGGCTGACCTTCCTCAAGCCGGATGTGAGCCGCGAGAGCCTCGAGGTAGTGAAGGCAGACGAAGCACAGCCAACACGGACACCATCGTACCCAAGTGGTGGATGTACACATTCCCATGGTGGGCCAGTCTCTCCATAGGATGACCAATGCTGCTTTCCCACACTGCGGTGATATGTTGTGGACTGGGGATGGATGAGTGACCGAGTGAACCCCAGATCCATATTTGACTTTATTGTTGTCCTGTGCTATAACCACTCGGCCACCCTCCCTGTTGTTTAGTGTAAGAGCTATTTACATTGGGGTAAGGCCATTGGCACTGGAGACCTAAAGCTCGGGATACAATGATCCTCGCTACTTCAAAGTAAACATATCTTGATGCATCTTTGTTGGCAGCCTTGACTCTTTGGTTGAAATTCTACATTCCAATGGCAAGGGCAACTATGATCCAGTCAGAAGGTTGCCAGTTAATATCCCAGTCAGGCGTACACTCATCCCATCATTTCTCGAAAACAATTTAAGTACCAGGAAATCATGGTGGACAGCTCTTCCTGCTGTATGTGATTTTGTAGCATATGTCTTTGCACTCTGCACAAAATAACATTTGACCAAAACGAGCAGTCACATTGTGGAGAGACTGCCCATCTTGTGCATGTGGATTTACACTTCTAGTTCAGGCCTGCTGATGAGGATGAGTGCCACCCCAGTGCTCGTCGTTTCGAGACTTGGCAGGTGGCCTGGACCCAAGTTACTATTGAGCCACTGCGATTGCCTCGTGGTGGTGACCTCACATTGGCTTCTGAGCTCTATGGGCCTTCCCCGAAACAAACAAACCGAGTGTAACGAATGCCAGTTGAGCCTGTGGTCGTTTGTTGGCACTGATCGAGTTCTCTGGGCACTGTTATCGCAGACCGTGCGGAGCGTGGTGTCGCTGGTGTTTGGGATGCACCGCGTGGCGTGGGCGCACGTCACACGCTCGCTTGACGTCCTGGCCTGGCAGCAGCGCCGCTGCGATACCATCAGGACGGGCAGCTACGCTCCCAACGTCTACTACGAGGAGGTACGCGCCGACTCTTGCTCCTCTGTCATGCTATCCCGCCCTTCTGTTTATACATACACCGCCACTGTCACACACAAAAGACAAAGATCCGCCATATAGCCTTAACAGACTGTTGGGGCAAGTGCTGTTAACGAGCACCTATGAAGGCCAACACGGCACAGGAGGGGGTGGGTGGCCAGCACCATGCCCGGCAACCATTTTTCCCCCGTGGCGATATTTCCACACCACATCAGGTACTCATTTGAGGCCGAGTGGACCTAGGGGAGGCCCAGGACTGGTTCAAATAATCGTCCCTTTTGTTGGTCACCAGGTTCTTAGTGCAGTGCACTAACCACTACACTACCGCTCCCACTGTCACAGACACGTCACCACTCAACACACACACCTGCACACACCTTCCACTGCCAAGAGGTAATCTTTGAGTGGTGCTGTGGTTGCACTTGCGACTCGCAGGAAAAAGAGCCTGGGTTCAATTCCCAACTCGGGCACCTTTCTGCATGGAGTTGGTATGTTCTCTTTCTGCATGGGTGTCCTCTCATAGCTGAAAAACCAAACATTATAACTGGTATTGGCCAAAACATCCTAATTCTGAAAACTTACCTGAAAATGACTCAGTTCGGATTACACACAGCAGCAACATCGCCCCTGAGAAAACCTGGCAGGATCCTCTTGAAAAAGAGTCTTGGGGCTCATTGGGGCCTTCCTGTATACCGAAAGGGTAATAATCATAATCGTAACCATCACCCCACTGTTACTTTCATTTCCACCTGTCATACCCTGTAATCGCTTATGAACAGAAGTGACCGGCATGACCCGTGGATTGTTTGCCTGTGGACACGACGCGGGCGTAGCTGCGGGCGACGGTGGCGCTCATTCCCAAGGCGGACCTGTACGTGCTGGAGCGGCCGAGCCTGCCGCCCGGGAACACAAGCCTCTTCCCGGTCGTGCTGCACCTACGTAGCATGGAGACGACGCTCTTCAGCCTGCTCTCGCTCAGGGAAGCCGCCGCTGCTGCCGCCGGGACAGACGTCGCGGTGCGTGGTGGCACGCCGAACGTGCGTTCGTGTCGACACGTACGCACAGGCTTTGTTGCTCGCTTTTTTCCCACGTTGCTGCGGCTAGATTGGAGTAGTTGGTACATGGCTCGTAGTAGCTCCTCGTAGTGAGAGGTATACTGGAAATATTTTCCAGGTCGCTGACCTGGATAGGCCGGGCTGAAACCAAGCCCCGATCGTAGGGAACTCTGCACATTAACAGGACCCGTGCTGTGTATGATTGTGGCTGTGTGAGCTGTGGATCTGAATGACCTAGTGTTAATTTCACGTTTAACTTTTAAACTTTGTTACATTGTATTAAAGTAATTTGTTTAGTTATAATATTTACGTTTTATTTAACATTTTTACCACTGCAGGTTCTTTGAGTTGCGCTTAGCGATGGAGACTTCCCACGCCGCACTGTAACTCCCCGAGTTCGATCTTTGTCGAGAGCGAAAACCACAACTGCCGACCCCTGACCTCCGTGTGCCCAGGACAATCCATGGACGGAGCCCCCCACCACCGTGCCACCCCCACACCCCCGCGTGCTCGGCATGTCACGCTCCGCCGTGGGCCAGCATTTCCAGCTCATGCTGGGGAGCACCAAGACGAGCGGGCGTGAGGTGGTACGCCGCCTGTTGGACGAGGTGCTGCTGCTGGAGCGGCCGCGCGTGCGAGTGCCGTGCGCCCTCGCGTCTGCGCGTGACGGCCGCGAATGTGAAGAGATGTGCGATGCGTTGCTGCAGGCGCTCGCCTTCCTCGAGCTGGCGCTTGGCCCTGCGAACTGAGCTGTGGCTCAGAAAAGAAATTCCTCTCTCTCTCTCTGGGCTAGAGAGATGCGTTTGGTGCGGTTGCAAAGTCGAATCTTAAATGGGATTCTTGGCCAGGGTCATAACTATTGAAGGTGCAGGCGGTGCAGCCACGGGCCGGCCGGAGAGACCCAGGGGCCGGGAGAATTGTACAGGGGACCCCACTTAATTCCTTGCACCAGAGCCCCTGCTGGCCACGCTACGTCACCATTCCAGATACAATAGATTTGGATGTTGGCAGCCCCAGACTCGAGTCATCTCAGCTGCAGATGCTCCACACAGCAGCAGCAGTGTTCTGCAGCCTTCATCAGGGCACGATGTTTGGGTTCCTAGCTCCATACACGGAGTTGGCTATGTCACCGAGGCTGCCCCTCTCAGCAGTGCAGCCTTCATCAGGAAAATGGAGCCGAGAATTGCCGTTCCTCAGCTGTCCATGCGCTGACACCATCTGTTTAAGTTAGAGGCTGAGAGTATTTTTTACAGTAGATTGTATTTAGACCTCTAGCCATATTGGCCATTGTGCTTTTATTTATATTTGTGAATCGTGCCTGCATCACTCACATCTCGGTTATGTACATTCTACCTTGTCATGGCTAGAAAGTTTCTGGGGATGCCAGTATAGTTAATACCAAGCACTTGTAATGATGCTGTATAAATGTCGGTATTCCACCATCCTGACCACATCTAAATTTCAGCTTTTATATTTCCCCATACAAGACCGTGTGCATGTGATAGAGGATAAACTGGTAATTTTATATGGATTGCACAGACACAGTAGCATCTCGACTCAAAACTCATTCACGACATCGTAAATAAAGGATGTGTATATACATTGCATCCTGTTGGTGAGGAGGCTTGGTCTCTTTTTAGCAGTCCTATCGATTTTCCAAATACAGTAACTTTTCAAAAACGTGAAGCGTTATTGAATGAAAGTGAATTGGAAAGCCGGTGATTGACAAGGCACCCTGTGACACCGTACACAGGAATACAACCACTGTGACCACGTTTTATCCGTGAAACACCAAACGCACTTTCCCTTTAATGATGAACAATATATTGTGTTGGCCTCGTTATTATCTGTCCAAATTAGTGCCATTAAAAACCCTCCACTACCTAGCCCAGCGAAACAACGCACCATTTCTTGTTTCAGTTCACTCGCCGGAGAATTGAAAAACCCCTGAAACCAAGATTTAGCCATCCGATACATGATTGCTCTTCATGTGAGATGGCACAATAATAATGGGCACGTTAAACACTTGTACAGAGTGACTATTAATTTGTTTAGGTGTTGGGTGGTGGAGGGTTCTTAATGACAGATTTGGTCGTATCATACGTGACCATAATCACAAATCAACTGTAAATCTGATAATTGGTTCTTTACCCTTCTATCTGGCAACAAAACTGACACCTTTTTGCAAGGAGTCATGTTTGCATAGACCGCAATACCTGCAGTCATAATACAAACAAAAGAACATAACTCTGATAATGTGCACTGTTCAGTTATGTTCTTTTGTTTGTATTATGACTGCAGGTATTGCGGTCTATGCAAACATGACTCCTTGCAAAAAGGTGTCAGTTTTGTTGCCAGATAGAAGGGTAAAGAACCAATTATCATATTTTTACTGGCAAATGAGGTCCCCATAGTGCAACTGTAAATCGTCATGATGGCTCTGAAAACTTACACGTTAAGTCTGCCTTTAATGACTGCACAGCTGGTTTAACAAACGTGCACTGCACATTTCACCTGTACACATACTACCAAGGTCACGAGCGATTGTTCAAAAGACGACGGGGGGCAGCGTGTGGCTGTGATGTCAAGTGTTTCCACACCAATAAAGCTCTTTAAGTACGTGCTGGATACGATGGGCAATTAAATGGTATCTGGATTAGAAGCTGCGTTTCAGAGTGCATTTGGAATATTGGAGGAATGCAGATCACCCTGCTGCACAGATCTCTTCATTGCATGAGTGGAATTAACTAAATTTTAATATGGCACTCGAATGAAAAAACTCAGCAAAAATAGAATGCGGTTGAATAGTGACGAAATGTATATTTGTAGTGTTACAACTCTGGAGGCTTGTCTTGGAGGCACACTTGTTTATTGTAACACATCGTACGGGAACACTAATGGCTAGCGTGCCTGACACCGGTCACGCTCTCAAGCCCTCCGGCTAACAATTACCTTGGGGGAGGCTATCTGACCCGACCTAGCCAGGGTGCGGGTCCCAACCGCTGGCCGCTCAGACCCGGCCCTGATAAGGACGTTGGGCCAGGGGCTCCAGGGTCCGAGCTGAGCTTCTCCATCTTCTGTCTTCACTCCCTCTTCGGACTGCACCCCGAACCTCTCGAGAGGTCCGTTTATATTCGTTTGTCCCACCGAGGGGCGGGGCTGTGTGGGATCCAGGAACACCCCGCAGCCCCCCCTGCTCCGGGACTCGGGATACTGTAACCGACCCTGCAGGTAAGTGTCTGCAGTCCCTCCCCGTTGCCCCACATAGCCCATTTATACCCCTACAACTGGACCGCACTTTCGACTGAAATCTCAATTGAACTGCCAAACTCAAATGCCACTCACATTTACGTAAAGTCGCTTATGGTTTTGTTTATTTCTCCTCGAGCCATCCCATTCCAAAGCCGAAATGTCCATTCAAATGCATTGAAGGCCTGAAAAGAGCTGTCCATCGAAACATCGAAGCCAAGTCTCATTCCTGGGCTTCTTGTTCGACTGCTGCTCACGTAGACGCACGTGTTGTATTGTGCAAGCACCCAATAGGATTACACAACAATCACCAGGTCAACAAGCAAAAGCTCAGTGATATATAAAGTAAACTAAACTTTTATTTTACCAGGTAAGGCCCACTGATCTATGTAGCTCTTTTGTAGAAGCCACCTGGCCACAAATGATAGCACAACGAAGTGGCTTGTCACGTGAAAATGTATCCCAGTCAAATACTCCAACGCATGTCCATTCTAAATGTGGAGGAAAAAACCGGAAGACTCGGTGAAAAGTCCACGCGACCACAGGGAGAACATGCAATCTCCAAATATACAGGCGTCAGGGTCGGGATCAAACTTCTCACCACCGCGACGTCCGATACTCTTCGTATGGAGTTGTCTGTCCAAGTGACCGTTTTAAGCTCATTTTCCCAACCAATCCAATATTTCCCTTTTCATTTTCGAGTCCATCTGACTTTTCAAGTTGCCTCGGAGCACCTTGCTTTTCACACCCTAAGACCGCTTCCCAGTCCTCCCTTCGAGAGTAGAGGTCCCCGAGGCATGCTGTGCATGACCAACAGTAGTTCTTGAATCCAGAAAGGTTTGAACCACTGCTCTAGACTGGATGTGAGCACCCACGTAACCGAGCGGGCGCAGAGAATGCACATCTAGCCAGGAAGTGACGAGCCCTAACACAAGTTCTATTCCCAGCTCTTTGTTACTCGGCCTTCTTAGGTCATGCATAGTGTATAGACAATGTGATGTCTACGGTTCATTGACTGCTGACCGCATATGGCTGTGAACAAAGTATCTCCCCCTGCTCAAGCAATGGGTGGTGCTCTTCTCCAATGGTGACCCTGAGCCAGCGGTGGAAATTCCACATTCCGATGGTCGGGGCAAGTCTGTCCATGACAGCAACTACTCGGCTTACATCGATTGATGGGCTGTGTAGACTTCCAGGCAGTATGTAAACTCACCTTATCGGGAGACCAGCGCTCTCCCATAGTACCACTTGGTAGGACTGAGTGTTAAGATGAAATCTCAAGGTGATGTACCGATGCATTACCATTCTCATCTCACGTACATCCCATCTAATAGGATGTACTGTGAAATTTCCTGACCAAAACTCAACATTCGTGATCCTGAGGTTTTCATCACCAACGTCCGGGAGCCAACTCGGTTAGCGAATCGGGAAAACTGAATTCGGCCTGGATTCCCGCAGTATCCTAGCTGTCCTGACCCACCTGCCACATGTGACGCGACATGTGTGAGTCAGCCAAGCGCCAGAGGAGCCCTCGCAAGCAGCGGTGAAGTCGCAGGGGACTTAGCACGCGAGAGACGCAGCCAGTAACGTCCCTCACTTTGGTCAACTTTGGTGCTGAGTTTGTTTTATAAAGTGCAGAAATTATATACAGAAATAGATTATAACTTCAGGTTGACCTCACCTGACCTAATGATGTGCTTAATGCTACTGGCTGTGGAGTGTAGGGAGAGGGGTGAAGCAGGAGGGGGCTAGTCCACGGAGCCACGCAATTCGTGAAGCAGTGTGGGATCAAACTTGAATGGAGCTGGAATGGCCAAGCACTTCCCATTGGTCATGAAGCATCCAAGGTCTCAAAACAGAAATTTTGTACAAACCGAAATAGTAATAATGGCACAAACACCCGAGGCAGATGTTTAGGAACCGTTTGTATGTTACCCCCAAGAACATGACAAGGAGGCACATTCACCAATGTGAATTTGAGCCCTGTATGCACGTAGATTCCTACTTAAAATATGATTTGTATCCTTTTTGAATAAGCATTTTAATGCAATTTATGGCCATATTTTGAATGATGTAGGCATGATCGATAAAGGATTTGATTTGTTTTAATTCGTATTTAAAGCATACAGTGAGCTTGGGATGGTCTCCATCCCACGTGGTGGTTTTGGTCTGTGGTCATGAATCGACCACTCCCAACGCAGTCACTAAGTGTAATTGAGGGCTGCGTGGCGACTCATCTGCCGTGAGACTCCTGGACACCTACAGAGCTCGGCGGCGTGTGATCTCACCCAGCCACCATCAGGGTGGGGCCCTCGCACCCTGCGGCGGTAATCCCTTGATAAAAGCCCCCGCACGCCCACGTCGACGAGCCCACGTCTGCCAGAACCTTCACAGGAGGGGTCATTACCGCATTATCCCTGCCATCTGCAGCCTGCTGTGAGAAACAAGGGCACTCTCTTTAATGGCGGTGAAACAAAAACCCCAACACTTTATTGAACGTAGATATACACATGTTAAATGATACAAGTACAACTATATGTTTAAACCTTGTCAAAAGACATTTACAAAATGCATCATACTATTGCTTGTAGTTAAATTAGGAAAATGATGTCCAGCAAGCTGCACATATATTTAAGCAGATTACAATGTAAATGCCAGTACACTTCATGGAATTTTGTTACAAAATGCAAATTTTCCTGCAAGACCGTGCAAATCTTTCGGTCGTTTTTAAATCCTTTATATTAAGTTCACTTGCTTGCTTGCTTGCGCGCTTACGACCGTGCAAATCTTCCGGTCGTTTTTTAACCCACTTCCCGTGATCCAATCGAGCACACAGACTCGTTGTGCGTGCCAATTTATTTTCGTGAAAATTTTTTTCCAAAATTTTCCACTTTATAGGGAAAAAAAAAATTCATATTTAATTTAAAATACCAATGTGATAAAAATGAAACTCTTACTCAAGAAAAACAGAAATGAATAATAAAATAAAACCGATGCCACGCATATAAAGGATTTATAGTGAAAAATGTTGTTTTTACGGGTTAATTTTTTTACATTTTCTCTTTAAAAACAAAACTATCTCACACGATCCAATATCACCCCAGCATCTCTCGTTTGAGCAGAAAGTTATTTACACCTTGCCATTACGCTTGTGTTGTTATCGGGGATGGCAGGAGGATGTCTCTTCAGGTTTCTTTCCATCCTCGCCCATAAGATCCTTAAATCCCAACTTCTCTAGTGGCTCCTGCGACATCAGCTGCCTGCGCATTCACACATTCACACACGTCACCCATCACCGTTAAGCCTTGAAAGCACCAGCTCTCGGAGCCCTTCTGACGGGTGGCAGCACAGCGGTGTCTGACACAAGGGGCAATGCACCACGCCACCACCTGTCACCTCGAAGCACGGGTTCTTTTTGCACTGTGGCAGGGTCAGGTTTTGTCTTGGGGCTAAACAAAACAGTTTTCCCGGCATGGGCAGAACATTTCCTGTAATATATCCAAAGTAGCTTCTTAAGGTCGACATACACCTATTCAAGAACTGGTTTGCAAGATTTGGTGACATCATTGACCAATGGCTTATTTTAAGTAACAAGAGGGCAACACCCGCACTCGGAAGGTTGTAAGTTGAAATCCCTCTAGATGTTGATAAAATAAGCATAACTTTTGGGCAAGCCAAGGGCGCTTGTAATGGACAGCCTTGCCCTCATCATGGGAATGTGGAAATACCACGACTAGTTCAGGTCAACCAATTTAGCACACTTTTATTTTGTTACAAACAAGCAAACAGCTAATTGACACAGAACGGTTATACTTCGACAAAAACTTTTTACAGTGAGATAGCTTTGATATGATTTCACAATTTTAATCTATATTTGAGACCAGCGTGTCTTTATTTTTATTTTCTCAAAATGGTTGCCATTTTTGAAGGTGGTGATTTACCACTCAAGGAATAAGTACAACGAGACCCCCTCCCCCTCACCTCTCCATTCTGCACTCCAAGTATTCTTTGGCTTGCAACCGGCACTGCACATTTTCATAGTTACATTCACTGAGGCACTTCATGAAGGCCTCCTTGAACTCCTTGCACTCCCCTTAATGAAGCACCGGCGAAAGACAGAAGAGGCGTTCATGGAGGGCGTCATTATTTGTTTTGTACAAAAATAAGTAATATTTAACAATACTTTAAAAAACAAACACGCTTTAATGAAATGTACCCTACTCGTAATGGCAGAACTCCACGACTCCAGGAAGTGGCCCCAGGCTTGCCATAACGTAAGGGGCCGTGGTGATTTACAGCCTACGTCAGTTGAGCGTGGACAATTAGACCCAAGCCGAAACATAACATATACAAATGAATGTTTAAAAATACTTGTTTTTATATATATAGAATATAGTGTTGTCATCAGTATGACAGAAGTATACCAAGTTTGCAGTCGATACCACATTGGGAAGTGGGTAAAAATTGAGTTACAAGATTTGAGGATACGACAACGACAACAACAGACAGCGAGTTAAATAAAAGCGTGTACTAACAATAGGTTTGAAAAGTTCCTTTCCAGAGCTTTCAAGTGATACCTTTCTCGGCAAAGGTAAACATTTACGAACATTTCAGCATGACCCATTTTGGCACACACGTTGAATTGTTGCCTATTTGCATAATATTTGCATTCCAAGGGTTATGACAAAGATAGAGGTGACAATGGATTTCATTATCATAAACAATTGACTGCTCTATGAAGGTATGGCTGAACGATTTGGGGAAAATTTCTAATTGCGATTTTTCTGACAGATATTGCGATTTGATTTGCGATAAAAAAATGTCAGTCAAGCTTCAGTTCAATATTCACTGTGTAATAGATTTAAAACATGTGATGGAGCATTACCACGTGATGCCCTCAGTTACACAGCCACAAGAGTCAGCTACAGTCACACACACACAGCTACAGTCTCACACACAGCTACAGTCACACACAGCCACAGTCACACACACCACAACAACAACAACCGCCATTCGCCACAAAGTGGCGGTGACGTCACCACGACGCTTGTGCCAGACCAAGTGCACCTTGAGGCCACGTGAAGTGTCGAACGCCCGCTGGCAGGAGGTCACGGGGCAGACCCAGGTGCCACGGGTCGACTGACCGAGATGACCGGCTGATGCACCACCTGTGCCCCCTACTGTACCAACTTGCTGTGCTTTAGCCACCCGGCGCTCCGCTCGTTGTTGTGAGCGTCGCTCCTCCGCCCTCCGTTGTTGTTGGAGGGCGACTGCCTCCAACTACCCAGTAGCGTCCTTCACGAGCCTTCTCCACAGAGGCCGATCTTGACACCGCTGGTACCAGTCATCGGCAAGTCCACTCAGCTCCACGTCCTCCTGTACCACATCACTCCATCTCTTCTCTAGCCCGTGCAGCGCCCGTTTAGCCCCCTCGATCTGGCCGAACAAAAGCTGTTTAGGCATGCGGTGGCTGGGTATGCGGTGGCTGGGCATGCGGGCTACATGACCCAGCCAACACAGCCTTGCCTGCCGGAGGAGCTCACCGATGGGACTTTGCCCACACACACACAGCTACAGTCTCACACACACAGCTACAGTCTCACACACACAGCTACAGTCTCACACACACAGCTACAGTCTTACACACAGCAAGTCACACACACACAGCTAAGTCACACACACAGCTACAGTAGCACACACACAGCTACAGTCACACAGCTACAGTCACCCACACACAGCTACAGTCACACACACAGCTACAGTCACACAGCTAGTCACACAGCTACAGACACACACAGCCACAGTCACACACACAGCTAGTCACACACACAGCTAGTCACACAGCTACAGTCACACACACACACAGCTACAGTCAAACACACAGCTACAGTCACACAGCTACAGTCACACAGCTACAGTCACACACACAGCTACAGTCACACACACACACAGCTACAATCACACACACAGCTACAGTCTCACACAGTTACAGTCACACACACACAGCTACAGTCACACACACACATAGCTATAATCACACACACAGCTACAGTCTCACACAGTTACAGTCACACACAGCTACAGTCTCACACAGCCAGGCGAGGCCTGCGCCAAGGTCAGGGCCCCCCGCTGGGAGACTTCAAACTCCACGCAGCCGAACGCCGCCGGAGCGCGGCGCCCTCTTACCGAGGTGGTCGAGTGGGAAGGAGCCTTTCTCTGGCGGTCGCGGCTTGAAGCTTTTGGTGCCAAAATTCATCGCCGACATGACGGCGGCGGCGGCGACGCCTTCGGCCTGCGAGTGGCGGCGAGTCGAGAGCCTGCGCGGGCCCTCGCCAGTAGGGGGCGGTGTCGTCACCACCACCACCACCACGTGGTGGCCACGTGGTGTCCACGTGGTGTCGTGACAGCAGCCAGAGGCAGCCCCATGCCGGGTCTGTCCCGTCACCCCCGTGCCCATCACGCGAGCCTTCGACACTTCACGTGGCCTCCAGGTGCACCTGGCCTGGCACAGGCGTCAACGTCACGGAGTGTTGCATAGCTGTCAACCCCTTATCAGTGCCTACCTCATTGGGTCACTCCGTGCCCTTAAATATCTCAGCGTTCATCCTACAACGTCACATCACAAGGGAGAAACACAAACAGACGAAACATTTGTTTTTGCCCATATTGATACGGCTGCACGCCGCACGGACAAGAATACGGCTAAACCGTACGGCTTGACATTGCCCCCGTGTGTGGAGTCCCAATAGTGGAGTGTCATGTGGAGGTGACTCATTCATTCTCCCCGGCACTTTGGGGGTGTTTGCCCAATATAGGAGCGAGTTGCAGTGCCACGCGAGTTTGAGCTGCAAGAGGAAACCATAGGAGAAAAAAAGCGCCAAGATGCACGACAAGAGGGGTCGGAGTCAATATTAATATTCTTTGGGTCTTTTGGTAAAGTCACGTAGATTCAAATAAAATAACAAAAAACTACGACGTGTCGATCGCAACACAAGCGTTCGTCATCAGGAAGAGGGGGTTACCTTTTAAAGGGTTAGCTTCTAAAGGTAAGCTGTTCATAAAGGTTTGAAATGGGCGTAGAATTCCTGCAGTCACGAAGAGGCCGTCCATAAATGACGTCACACACCCGGGGGGGGTCAGACATTTGTGACGATGTATGACGAGGGGGGGAGGGGGGGTTGAGAAATGTGACGTCACATCAAAATGCGCGTGAGACTGGAGGTCACCTTTTATTTATTCCGTGAAGGAGCATTTTGCTTCTCCATGGGAGAATGGAGAAACATACATTTTGTGAATTAAATGTACTTTCAAGTCGGCTTCGTTCTTCTACAAATTTTCAAGTATTTTTTATAGTTATAATTACTTTTAATATTTTATAATTCTAAGAATATTTCAATTTAATATTCTGAACATCTGCAGTTTTAGTTAGACGTTGAATATTTGCAAGGGAATTTTATGCTAAATTTCAGCTTTCCAACACCTTTTTAAAGTGTTTTCTCCTCCAACATCAGAGTGCAGCGCCACATTAAATACGCACAATGACAAGTTTAAAGTGATTTGAAGCATGTTTTATTTCAAAATGTAAATATGGTTTAAGGGGGGAAGAGCTTTGTGACGTCATATTTGGAGGTCTGACCTTGTGACGCCGTGTGACGAGGGGGGCTCAAAAATCGGTCAAAATCGCATGACGTCATTTATGGACGGCCCCGAAAGCTTTAAATTTTTATAATTGTAATAAAAATTCCCATCGGAGTCACAAAGTGATATCTCGCTCAAATTCGCGTTGAAGGCGTTGTTGACTTTGTTGACAAACCTGAGCCAGTGGTGGAAATCCGTGGCGGGGCGAGTCTGTGCGAGTGTTCGACGATAACACGAGCCGCAGCACTAAACGCGGGTTGCACGCCACCGATGGCCCCACACGCACACACCTGCAGTGATTCATAGCGGGGTGTGGACTGAAGGAAAATCGAGACTGGTTGTGACCACTCGGACACCGTAGTTTCTCCGAATTGGGTTTAAGCCATTTTGTGGCTACGGTTGTAAAAATAGGTAGGACTACAATATGGGTGGGTAGGTAGGCGGGTTTGCGAATAGTTATCTATATCCCTGCCTACTCAAAGACTCGCTTGAGCAGGCGGTGGCTGGGCATGCGGGCTACATGATCCACAGACTTAACACACATCTCAAGCGCCCACCCGCCGCACGAAGTGTACAAGTGTAGTGACGCGATATCCGCCACTAGGGGGACAGAGCGCGGAGATGATCAGAGGTCGATTGAGTAACGTTCGGTGGGTCGGGTCACGTCGTCGGGTCGTGGAGCTGCAATCGCCTCGTGTCTAGGGGGTTACGTCGTGACAAGGACGTCTACAATTATAGAACCAGCTCTGTAAACGTCCTCATTAAAGTGTGAATAAACGGATTGCCTCTAACCACGGAGTGTCTTCATTTAAGAGCACTACACAAGCTTCACGCACACAGCTTGGAATATAAAGATTTAATTTTTTCATCTCACACACCACACTGTACAAAAAAAATCGGTAATTTTTGAAAAACAATTAACATACCTGTACACTACTATATGTATTATATATATAATTCTAAATTTAAGCCCACGGTGATTCTGTGTAGTGGGATACTGCCCACTCGGCATCTCTGAGCGCGAGAACCGTCAACATTTCATCTTCATCACCACCACGGGCCCTGCAAAGCACACCGGACCAGTGATGGCAACGTCCACTGTGCCCTGCACATTCGCACGTCAGCTCTACATCTTCTCCGTTCGTATGTACGGTATGTTGACCTTCTTTTGCACCGTACGTAGCTAACTGTACTAATCGGAAAATATAAGTGGATATATAAATACACGGAGACAACTCTACTTGTCCAAATGATCCAAATTCCAATTCCCGACTTCAGATGACTTGAGTCTTACTAGGTATGTGGCACCACGATGCATTGAATCATCAATTCAAATCAATTGATACATTTGCAATAGATGCATGAAAGTGCCTATAAGACACTTAATTACAGTTCAAGAAAATAACATGCCCATGGTATGCTGTTACATTTAGGGTAATGAATCAAACAGAACCATACAAGTGATGATATAAATGAGCTACATTGAAAATTGATAAAGTTCGTAAATTGTGCGTATTCACCAAATCAGTGGGGAAGAGAATTATTGCACGCCTGGTAGGCATCCCTTGCTGTTTTACTGGCTGCAGACAGGGTGGATTTCAGTTGGTAAGGTTGGCGTAAATCAGGTGTTGAAACAAGTGGTCTGGAACAAAGGCAAACCTGTACAGTTACAGTCCAATCAAAATTGCAATGTCTGCAGTGTTTGTTGTATGTTTTATTATATAAAATGGTCATGTTAAAAATACACTGTATAACTCAGCTCTGGTGAACTGTACTGTATTATAATTGAAAGACACTGCAATAACTTTAAATGTAACGAAGGAAACAGAGCAGAGCCAATAATTAGATAAGACAACCTGGTCGCACAAATTCGTTCTTTATGATAGCTGCACACCTGAATGGGCCTGAAAAGGTCATGAAGTAATTTGATGTGACCTCAAATGATAATAAGAGTCCCATGACAGCTCCAAAAGATCATGGGAAGTCAGCAGCCAGTGCGCCAAATGTTGACCGTGAGAGCTCCAACTTCTCCTCCAGATAATGGTGGAACCTGCAGAAAGAAAAACGACAGTCTGCAAGTCAAAGTCTCATGAGGAACACCACAACATGTGAACTAGAATGCAACTATACTCTTTGGTTCTTTCGGTAAAGTTACGTAGTTAGAAATAAAATAAAACAAATCACGACGTTTCGATCGCAACACAAGCGGTCGTCATCAGGCAAAGGAGTCAGCCTCTAAAGGCAAACTGTTTATAAGGATTTGGGGATAGGCATAGCCCAAGTGTACGAACAACACCAGAAGCACGGGCGGTGCACAAGTGCCAATGCAGCAACAATTCCAATGCAGCAACAATGCTAATGCAGCAACAATGCCAATGAAGCAACAATGCAGCAACAATGCCAAATGCTGGGGATGCGGGGGGAAATTAACTCGGAAAAATAGACTAGTACCCGGCAGATATGATGGAACAACCATAAACAGTTAAGGTTTTAACTTTACACAGTCCGAGACATGTTAAGAAAGTTATATTAAACAAAGTATCATATGCATGATAATTGGCTTTTTACCCATCTATCTGGCAACAAAACTGACACCTTTTTTACAAGGAGTCATGTTTACATAGACCACAATACCTGCAGTCATAATGCAAAAAAAACATAACTCTGATAATGTGCACTGTCCTTGAAGTTGATTGGTCCACACCTGAGACAGCTTTCCTTAGAGCCTAGTCTCACATGGGTTGGACCAGAAGACGCCAAAAGGCGCACAACTCAAGGACAATGCACCATCAGAGTATGAGAGCTCGGGGTAAGCATTTACACCATTGGAACCTCATTTGCCAGTAAAAATATGATAATTGTTTTTTTACCCTTCTATCTGGCAACAAAACTGACACCTTTTTTACAAGGAGTCATGTTTACATAGACCACAATACCTGCAGTCATAATGCAAACAAAAAACATAACTCTGATAATGTGCACTGTCCTTGAAGTTGATTGGTCCACACCCGAGACAGCTTTCCTTAGAGCCTAGTCTCACATGGGTTGGACCAGATGACGCCAAAAGGCGCACAACTCAAAGACAATGCACCATCAGAGTATGAGAGCTCAGGGTAAGCATTTACACCATTGGAACCTCATTTGCCAGTAAAAATATGATAATTGTTTTTTTACCCTTCTATCTGGCAACAAAACTGACACCTTTTTTACAAGGAGTCATGTTTACATAGACCACAATACCTGCAGTCATAATGCAAAAAAAACATAACTCTGATAATGTGCACTGTCCTTGAAGTTGATTGATCCACACCCGAGACAGCTTTCCTTAGAGCCTAGTCTCACATGGGTTGGACCAGATGACGCCAAAAGGCGCACAACTCAAAGACAATGCACCATCAGAGTATGAGAGCTCGGGGTAAGCACTTACACCATTGGAACCTCATTTGCCAGTAAAAATATGATAGAGACTAGGCTCTAAGGAAAGCTGTCTCGGGTGTGGACCAATCAACTTAAAGGACAGTGCACATTATCAGAGTTATGTTTTTTTTTGCATTATGACTGCAGGTATTGTGGTCTATGTAAACATGACTCCTTGTAAAAAAGGTGTCAGTTTTGTTGCCAGATAGAAGGGTAAAAAAACAATTATCATATTTTTACTGGCAAATGAGGTTCCAATGGTGTAAATGCTTACCCCGAGCTCTCATACTCTGATGGTGCATTGTCTTTGAGTTGTGCGCCTTTTGGCGTCATCTGGTCCAACCCATGTGAGACTAGGCTCTAAGGAAAGCTGTCTCGGGTGTGGACCAATCAACTTCAAGGACAGTGCACATTATCAGAGTTATGTATTTTGTTTGTATTATGACTGCAGATATTGTGGTCTATGTAAACATGACTCCTTGTAAAAAAGGTGTCAGTTTTGTTGCCAGAGAGAAGGGTAAAAAAACAATTATCATATTTTTACTGGCAAATGAGGTTCCAATGGTGTAAATATTATATGCATCTCTGAACATTGAGCAAGCACTGCTGAGATGAGATCCTGGGTTCAAGCTGGACAATCACCTTGGATTAAACAAGGTCCGCAATTATATCACTTTTGATCGTTCTGACCCCCATTCACTAATGCCTTGCTAAAAATACTCACCAGTTGGACAAACCCAAAGCTAAGGAGAAAACACGTGTATATCATATATCACATTATCGACGATGAGAACATAATTATTTGCAGAGCATAAAGTAACTGCTTAGTTTGGTTATGGAGGTCTTTTCACATGACTCCAGTAGTAGTAACCCTGAAGCCACCCTCTGAGCAGTCCACTAACATGCAGCGGCATTCTTATGACTGAAGGCGTTCTGTTAAGATGTTCTTTCACTTCATCCAGTTACTCAAGTTGGCTTTATTAAGATCAACAAGTTACCATGGCCAATGCCAATGATGCTGCCCCACCACCACCAACCGTCAGATCACACAACTATCACACAGTTGACATTTGATCTTCAATGTCTGCTCTTTCAAGATCTCTACAACTGTATTTAGTTATTCCATGGCTGGCAACATTAGCACACCCCTAGTAACATGCCCTTCTTCTCCATCTTGCACTCAATGTTCACCCATAGCAACTTCCTCTTTTCGATTAGGCCTACAAAGCTTTTTTTAACATCTTCTTGGTTCTTTCGGTAAAGTCACGTAGAAGGGAAATAATAAAACATAATAAAATAATTTAATAATATGATATCTTTTTTTACATGTTCCATCAAAGCTGTTCACTGGGTATGAAACAGCTTCATTTTTACTTTTAGATGAACTGTAAGAAGACCCCACTGCTTTATACTCCAGGTCGTAGGAATAAGGCCATAACGTATTCTAAGAGACACAGGTAATAACTTTATGTTTGTAGCATTGAGCTGGCACAAACTGTATTGCTCATCATTTAAAGAAGATAGCTTTACTGCTATGTTCGGTTGGTAGAGCGTGGTCATCAGATATTACCTGCAGACAAGTGTACCGGTTGTTGTTGACAATAAACAAAGAGATGCCTCATCCCTGACTCTCCCGTGAGTCTCTGACCGGCGGCGTCAGCTCACCTGCGCTTGGAATGTGTCTCCTCACGCCGGCGCTCCGTGCGGCACAGCTGGCGCAGTGCCGGCAGGTAGTCGACGGCGACAGCGCGGCGCGCGCACAGCGAGCTCAGCGCCACACAGCCGGGAGCCACGAGCTGCGCCAGCGCCCTCCGCTCCTCACTCGCCCTGCACAGGACAAGGCCAGGGTTTTGAAGGCAGCAGTGCGGGCCCCCAGTGTGTGCGTGTTTGTCGGGCCTACACAGTAATAATGTAGGTAATAGGCACGAAGTGATGCATCAAGTAGTCCATTAATCTATTATTTAAAGTATTCAAATTATAAGGAAATAATTTGCAAAATATTGCAATCTCTATTGTACCTCACGACGTCCCCCCCTTCCTGTGCTCAGTCACGTTTCCACTCATTTTCTGTCCTGGCTCCCCTACATTGGAATAAACTCCCACTCCACATCTCCAAAGTCAACTTTACTCACCATTTTTCGTTCCTCCCTTAAGACTGATTTTTTTCATTAGTGTATCCCTCTACTACAAGCTGTCCTTAAAACCTGAAGCATCCTTCCCCTTCTTAATCTCGCCCCTCCCTTTCCATATCCCTTCCTTGCCATCCCTTCCCCAACACTCAAATCCCATCCCTTTTCCCCATCAGCCAATACTATTTGTACAATTCATAATCAACGTTTTTGGGTTTAGATCGCGTTATTTATAAATGTGTCGTAACCCTCCACCACCTGACACGGCCAATCAGTAAAAAAGTGTCACGTTGACAAAAGACACATAGTTCACTGCTTTAGCCCACCGGTGTGTTGAAGCGTATGACGTTTCGCTGGTAATTGCATCCAGCATCATCGGGCAAATTATATTTCTTGTAAAGCGCTTTGACAAAGCGCTATATAAAATCCTTGATAAGATAACATAATTAGGCAAAAAAAAGTGAAGAGAGACAATATAAATTATAAAGGCAGAACAAATGAGCCCAAACAAGACACAAAGTACAAATGAGCAAGACAGTACAAACAGACCTTACTCACAATACCCAGTATATACAAGATAGAAATAATAATTCTTCTTATTATAAAATCAATTACAGTAATCCCTCTCCACTTCGCGGTTCAAGTTTCGCGGCCTCAGTGCATCGCGGATTTTTAGAACTGATTTAAAGGCCTCATTGTACCTGTGCAGTAACACCATCATCATCATTCATCATCACATTCATCGAACTGCACAGGTCTGTCATCGTCGTCATTGTCATTGTCGTCGTCATTACTGGAGTCAAGTCTCAAGATACTACTGTCATTGGTGAGTGTAGAACACCATAATACGTATCGTATGAGAGAGAGAGAATGTATAATATTAAGGTTTTATAATTAAATAGATTTAAGTAAAATATATATATATAAAGTATAAATATACATATTTTAAACATTCTGGTACCCACACACACATATACGGAAATTCCTAGGGGGCCAATCCTACTTCGCGGATTTTCACCTATCGCGAGGGGTTCCGGTCCCCATTAACCACGATAAACGAGGGATCACTGTATTCCTGAACTGAATTGCAACCCCGGATCATGGCAATAAATCACTACATCTCCCTAGACAAACTGCAGACAGTTTTACCATGGCATCAGACAAGAAACAAATAACCGAAATAAATATTACACAGCAAGAGTTGCCTGTGAATAAGCGTCTCACCTAGAGACCTCCAAGCTCTCGGGCAGAAACCTGGATGCCTCCTTGCCTTCAGGAACTTGCAGGCTCAGGCTTTGTCTAACTTCCGGTCCCAGGTCCGGCGATTCCAGTGCAAGAGAGATTTCACTCCGGCACCTCCTTAGAGCTAGTGCCTCCACAGTCGCGCGGATCTCAGAGCCAACCCCGTCCCGCATATCGGCCCCCGTGTCCCACCCGCCGATGCGGCTGGCGTCGAGGAGGCCACTCCTGCACTGGGCAGGCCACCAGTCCAACAGGCCGGCACCGCACGGCCCCTCGGCCTCCCTACCGCGTTGTGCCAGGCGGTAGTCCGTGCACGAGAACGCGTTCGCGAGCTGCGACACCGCGTCCAGGCAGTGCAGCCCTGCCCGTGCCGCCCGTCGCTCCCCGTCGCTGCGAGGTCTCACGACCGGACCGACCCTGCCACCCGACTCAGCGCCGTCGATCGAATTTGCCCGCTCGCCTCCGTCTGTGCCCACTGGACCTCGCTGCCTCGTTTGCATCCGGCGCTGGGCCCCACAGCTTTCAGCCGCGCCATTGCTGATTTCGGAATCCACGTTCGACGCGTTTGGGTTCTGCGGCGTGCGTGCGGCATCGCGGGAACTCTCCTCCGAGTCATAAACATCGCTGTCGAAAAATATCAGCCCGCGTCGCCGCTGTCGTGATCTTCCCAGAAGTGGAGCCTTCACGGGGCTGGAGTCATCCTCGTATTCCGGCCCCAGCTTCGACTGCATGTTCCCTTCCGGCACGGGGGTAACGGCGGCAGGCGGAGCGCCGCTCAGTGGAGTGGGGGCAGCAGGGCAGCGCGCCACGAGGAGTGGAAGTAGCAGCTCCCAGTTGCAGCGGACAAAGTCCAGCCCCAGCCGCTGCGTCTCGGTCAGGGCGTGAACCTGCCTCGCCAGGGAGCCACCGCTCTCCGCCTCCTGCAAGGTCAGCACAATGTTGATTAGAGCACAAGACTAACACGCTGGAGTTCACAGATACTCGTGATCCAGGAGCGGTCTCCAAAGTTCAGCTACGTGTTTGAGAACTTCTTCTTTCATGATTTTTGCCACGCACTGCTGCAGGAATCTTCAGGCATTTAAGCAAAGTATTTGTAAAGTTCCCACACGTGTCTTGTTTTAAATTGCTCAACATACATCCCTACCCAGAACGCAACACTTGAAACGCACGGGACTGATTTACATCATCGCTTTCATCCCCCCTTGCATGAAGCACGCTAATTAAAAATGACTATCATTGGAAAGATTGCCATATTAGATTTATGGCCTGCTGAAGAAAAAAAAAATCCTGATATTCTTAATAAACCTGATAATCATTGCATAAGTTCAGTGAAGTAGCAACTTTATGTTTGACACGTAGGCTTTCGCGACCATTCCGGAAAAATCTCCGGATGATGCTGGATTTAATAACCAGCGAAACGTCGTACTCAAATTGTAAATGTTGTGGATTTACTCTCCAGCACAACGATGGGCTGAAGTAGTAACTACTTGTCACGTTTTGTTTACGTGACAAACCTTACCGGTTGCGTGTCAGGTAGTAGCGGGTTCACGTCACATTTAAACCTACGCGATCTAACCGAAAAAGCTATCCATAGAGGTATTTTAGGGTTAGATTGCGTAAATCTATAAATGTTGTTAAAACCCGCTAACACCCGATACAGCGAACTAATCAGGGTTGTCACGTAAATAGAACATCCCAATTCGTCACTAGTACAGCACACAGGTGTGTTAGAGAGCTAAGCCACAACATTTACAATCTGAGTACGACGTTTCACCAGTAATTACAACTAGCTTCATCAGGCGACAGCCAGATTTGTGGAGAAGTCCAACTGTTTCGTTCCTTATGTAGAGGCGTAGATGTGGTGACCAGACTTCTGGGCTCTTGTGCAAAGTGGGGGGGAGGGGTTCATGAGAACACTCAATTGATTTTGATAATGTTGAAGTTATGTGCAAAACTAGCTACTACTGGCCAAGACTAATTAGAGAATCTATCGAAATTGAAAGAAATAAAAATAATTTTAACCTTTCGGATAGCTACTGCCTTAGTGCTGTGTGGAAGCGAATCATCAAATAATACATTGTTTAAATGTATGCCTACAAAGGGCAGCATACTTCATCAATAGGGATTACCGTTAGTACGGCTATTTTAATACACACAATGGACAGGAAGGACAAGATCAAAGGGCTCGCATACTGCACATGCATAATATATGTTAACTCATGAATCCCCTCTCCCACTTTGCGCAAGAGCTCAGAAGTATGGTCACCACATCTACGCCTCTATAAAAGAAACGAAACAGTTGAACTTCTCCACAAATCTGGCTGTCGCCTCATGAAGCTAGTTGTAATTACTGGTGGCTTAGCTCTCTAACACACCGTATTGCTGTACTAGTGACGAACTGGCATGTTCTGTTTACGTGACAACCCTTACTAGTTTGCTGTGTCGGGTGGTGGCGGGTTATAATGACACATTTATATATTTACACAATCTAACCCAAAAAAACCTCTATTATGGATGATATTGGTCGCGAAAGCCTACGTGTTGAACCAAAAAAGATATACAGTATTATGAATAGTGAATGTCTTTATTTGACTGATTGAAACAGAGGTTAATGCTAACCATGTTTCCAATGGGCTGGAGCAACAAAAGTTCTAGCTTGAACATTTTTTGAGTTGCCAATAACAAAAGGGGCATTCCTTTAGAACTAAAACTTAACTTCTGGGTCAACAAGAAAATGAAAAAAGAAATGTACAAGAAAACACAAATGTCTCCATACGAATGCAGAAACTTGTTCTCTGGGCTTCTTCAAGTGGTTAAGTTAAAATAAAACGGATTTACTGAAATCTGACATCAGGATTCTATACATAGTTACAATATGAATAATTTGTTATTAATTTTAACTGTTATGCTCTTTTCCAAATAATCTAAAAATGGCGCAATACTGCATTTAGTGATTTTAAGGTTTCTAAAAAGGTGGAAAATCTCACCATAGTTTACACTGTAAAAATGTTGAAAATGACAAGTGAAAGCAGAAGGTACCGACTAGCATAAGACATTTAGCATTACAGACAATAATGATGAGCACTGATGGTCAGCACACACGCATACACAGACAGATAACGACACAAAGGGATGGAAATTTTGATGCAGATGGCATCAGTGAAAGGCTGTATGGGGTGGTGGTGGTGCTGCTGACCGTGAGCAAAGTGTAGAGGCTGCCATGGCTGCCCAGCAGCTCACTGAGCCCCAGCAAGCTCTCCGAACAGTGCGTCTCACCCTGGGCTGCCTGAGGCAACACGGCCTCACACCCGACTCCCTCACCCTCGTCCCTCTCTGCCAGCAAAAAACAAACCACGTAAGACATCAAACAGCTCGGCGACGCAGTCCGCACCTTCATTTGTCTCCTGGCAACACGGCCGCCTCCGGTTACGTAGCCAACTGATTCACACGTACGGTGCGAAAGAACTTCAACATACATTCAATGAAAGACGAGGTGGGCTGTGCGAGTTGGCTTTGGTTCAAAGTGCTACGGCGTTAAAAGGCCTAATACAGGCAAAATGATTTCTACTCCTCCTTCGCAATTCAATGGATTGTCACAGTTTATAGACGGGATTAGATTCAAGAATCGATTCTGTTTTATATTGTGGTTACCGACAGTGCCTATCGTTTCTCCAGGAATCACACAAACTTATGCATCCAATATATATACGAATATAATGTGCATTATGACTAAAAGATGTATGGTTAATCAATGCATCGATGCATTGGTACATGCCTATGAAAAAACGTTTCATTTAAGTTACTATACTATATTAGGGCAGAAATACCCAGAATGCGGAATACTTGTGATAACCACATCTCTCCACCTCAGTAGGATCATAATCTGGCATCCAGATTGCCCAACATTAATGCAGCAGTTCGGTGGTACTGTTGGGCTCATCTAACACGAGGTCACGTATTCTGCCCATCAGAGTCTATAATGGTTCATAAAGTATGGACCACTTTATGGTTGTCCGTTGGAGAGACACGCACCTCTCACAGGGATGTAGAGTGACCAACGAGGAGTCAGATACCAATACCTCAGTGCCTGCTTGAGCAGGGATGGGGTTAGAGAGACAGATTGTGGCTAAGGAGTTAGGATGAGGCAAACGAATAGGGAGTGTGGTAATAAATATGGGTTTGAAAACATAGTTAGGAGATAGGAATAAGAGGTTAGTTATGAGTTGGTGTTATGGTTTCGGGTTAAGGGTAAGAGATAGGGGCTAGATTTAGGAGTTTGGGCTAGGATTTATGGGTAAGGTGCTGATGCTATGACACTGCTCTCACAAGCCCCTCTATACTCGTCACTGGGGCTGGCGGAGCCCCGAAGACCGCGACACGCAATCCCCAGACTGCTGGGCGTCACACCGTAAGGGGGCTGAGGCTGGGCTTCTCCAAGGGCGGCTCCTCCGCTGCACGCCCACAACTGCAGCGAGAGGAGGGCGCGGCGCACGTCCCCTCGCGTGTGCGCCAGCAGGGCCTCCACGTCCGCCACGGACACGCGCAAGCCCTCCGCCAGGCACGCCACCTGCAGGTACGGCACCACCCTGGCCTGCATGTGTGCATGCCGGCGTGCGTGGGAATGTGAGCACAGGACACCACCTACAGGTTTCAATGTCTCTCAGAAAGCATCACCGTGCACTAGACACAAAGTGATGTGTCAAATATGAACAATATTTTTCCCAAGCGCTTTGTAATGGGCATCGAGAAAAGTGATAAAAAAAGAATCATATAATCAAAGTCACGCACGGCAAAATCGGTGCACATCCACAAATCGGTAAAGAGAGCACCCGTGCCGACTGGCGGCAGTGAAAGCTTCTTACCATGGACGGCGTTTTGAAGCGTATTTGCTCGTAGTGTCCATCGAATGTCAAGTAGAACGTCGGATCTGCGTATGGGAAGGAGGCGGCAGGATTAAAACACAAGAAACGGGTCCAGACTCATCCATGGGGCAATTGAACATTCTGAAAATGCAACATTGTAATATTGGGCTTGCTATGAAATTTCTGACTACACTGCAATAAAACAGTAACAATGTTTGTTGTGTTGTGAGCCGGTCCTCCTTTTTGTTGTTGATGTTTCGAACATCCCCCCTCCCCCGCCCCCCCGCCCCCCGCACTCCTTACCAGACGTGATGAGGACTATCGGTCGCTTCGTGGTCACCATGAATGTTTTGATCGCAGACAGGAAGCCGGTGTCGTCATCAAACACTACGTCCACCTGTGGAGCAGCACAAGGTGACGTCTCTCGGACAAACGCCAACTCAGGCCCTGTGCTGGTCAGGCTCCATCCTCCTGCTGGTTCCAATACCATGGCACATTTCTCTCTCTCTCCCCCGGCGTAAACCCAAAATGACATCACAACCATGTAGTCAGCTTCGTCTTATGCCAAAAATACATCTCCACTGAGCTCTCTCAAAGCGAGCTGTGCAACATCACATGCTGTCAGGCAATGGCTCTGGAAGATGAAGTATCCCTCGATATACTGAACAGATATGTAAAGCAAAATTCTGTTTATCAAACCTAATTTTCCCATTGACTTTCAATAAATGGTTGGAGATGCGTTTCGGCAGAAAAATTGACAGCTCAAAGACAATACATTCACATTTAAGAGTGCATACAACCTTTTTATAGAACATATATCATGGAAAATCGATAATTACATGACAAAATATAAATAATTCTCAAACTAAGTTGCGGAAAATCAGTACAGTATGTCACGGGAAACCAGTACAGTGTGAAAAGCACAGGAAAAAGCATGAAGTGTACGCTAGGGCAAACGACAGACCGTGCATTGTTCAATTCCCCCCCCCCCCCCAAATAATAATGGAGATTCAAAGTGAAGTAAATACGACTTTAATGGAACGTATATCAAAAATTCGTTCCTAGTTATTAAGTTACATTCTAGCAAAATTCTGTCAACTAGTTTCCGTATAACGAGGGATGACTACTTATTAAAAAGGCCCTCTCATCTTGATCATTACAAGGCACACTTAGCCAGTGTTTGTTACTTAGTAACCAAACTGATTTAAGTGGAAAAACAATAAGATGATTTATATTCTTCTATGCAGTCACTGGCGACCGGGCTGAAACCACCATTGAAATCTACGGATGAAATGCGCCTTACAAATGTAAATTATTATTACCACACTTGACAACATGGCTTACCTACAGGTGCTCAAATGTAACGTCAAATTTGCTCCGGGAGCCACCCGATCATCACTTCTCCCCACGGCATTTTTTTTTGCTAATCATATCGCATTTGTGCTAATGCCAGTCTTATACAGGTAAGAGGAAGCATTCTTCCTGAACTTGGTCACAAATGCCACGTAAATAAACAGGCATCTCTCGCTGCACGAGAGCCACCCGGCAAAGCACCGCCAGCGTCGGTGTCCTGGGTGCTCACCTCCTCGAAGAGGATGAGGGAGGTGGCGGCCGCGTGCTTCCTGCTCCGCGAGCCGGTGGAGACAGAGCCGGCGGCGCTCTGCTGAACCCCGACCTCAGCAGGCGTTCCTTCAGCTGGGCAATGCGTGCAGGACATGCGACACCAGGATAACGACCATCACCATCACCACCGTCACCTCTTGTCGCACGGCCCATCTTGTATACAGTTAACTCTTGATTATCTGCGGGCGTATTATCCGTGTTTGGGATTTGTGCTGATGAACAATATTTGTAAAATATTGCAATGTACATGCTGGTTTAATTATGAGCCGCTCCCCATTGAGGGTCAGTTACTCAGTGCCCATGCGACTGCAAACATTAGAGAGTAAACTCGTGACTTTATATGAAGCAGCAAAATTACTTGATACGTTCTACGCTTCACCCCCATTTAACATCGGTAAGCAACGCAAACGGCATTTCAGTCTAATCTACTTATGTTTGGCATGATGCGTGTTTATGTTTAATCTGGGCCACCTCTCCCCCACAATTACCCCCCATAACAGAGTTTACTGTACTAATACTGATACCTTGTGAGCAGGACATAAGCAAACAGAACAAAATAATACTGATAATCACTTTTCTTTAAAGTAAAATGTGTTCCATTAAAACCAAATCCAATTAGCGACACAAGCAACGGCGTTAAAACGAGGGTTGGGGCTCTGGGTGCAAATTAACGGTTGTGAGAAACTGGCTCGGCAGCTGTGCTCACGTCACTTAATTACCATTATTAACAACATTGCACATATCCTAAAACATCACGATCATCATTAACGTGTCACTCTATGGACACCTCATCAGTGCACAGGCACAACCATGAACAATAACCAATGTCAACATTATTAACCTCTTAATATTACAATATCAAATGCAAAAAATTATCTCGAAACCTCTAAATTACACTATTATGACTACTTTGTTACTTAACATATTTACAAGTGTCTCAAAACGAATCAACTTTGTGTTAATTTTGGAAAGCCTACGACACTAAATAAAATCACATTAGCACTCCGGTATGCTGGTAATGTATAATGTCACGATACCAACCTCGTTTATTCTGCTTGGGCTCCCGGCTCGGTTTTTTCTTAGCTGGTTCTTTATCAGAATCCCCCGACCCCTTTCCAGAATGTACTTTGAAGAAGTTGGCGAAGGCGGCTGGGAGTTGTTTGTTCTTGGTGGAGGCAGCGGAACTGCGGGGTGACACGGGGCGCTTCCGCGGAGAGCGGAGCACCTTGACCGGCGAGGAGTGCCTTGCTGCGGAGAGAGGAGCCAGAGTAAAACAATGGCACAGCGCCACCGCAGGGGCTGCAGCACAAGCATCACTCACAAGTGTTTTGTGCTTTCTAAGATAGTAGCTCTCAGCGAGGATTCCATTAAAATTCTCCCCCACACCTAAAAGAGCGTGGGCAAGCACTCTTCCTCAGCTGACGACTAGAGAGCGGCGATGGAAATTCCACATTGCAAAGGCGGGGAGATATTCTCTCCACAGGACAGCCTCTATTGGCCTCTTACAAAGTTCTATATTGTATAGCTTGCTCTTGTAAACAAGGCCCAGTAGGCTCAAGTTATTACCTGGTAACATAAACTCCCTCTTACGACGTGGAAGGATTATTTGTTGAGTCAACCCTTAATCGGGATTTGAACTTACGACCTTCCAGTTGTGAGTTGAGTGCTTTAAGCAAAAGACTACCAAGATGGGTGGCTATATTGTGCCAAATATTTGCAAAAACGGTAGTTAGATCTTGACATACAAAGCGATATTTTCCATTTCTTATCACCACATTGTAACACACTGTACTATGAACTCGACAACACCAGCTTTGATACCTGGCCATAGCAAACATTGGTGGCAAGTGATACCTGAACTGGTCTTGGGACCCCCTTCAACAACCTGCACCGACCAGTGTGGTGAATTCTTGTCAAATAGCCCCCATGACCAATACAGCCAAGGGGAGGCCTTCATACAGCAATGGCTACGTGATGACTCCTAATTAAACAGTCCATGCATTTATGGTTCAGGAGGAGACGCTGACACAGCTTCGTGCTGACACTCACCCGACATTCCCTGCTGCTTGCTTGCGGGTCTGCTGTCGCCGGCTGCGCTGGATGAGGCGGTCGCCGGCGCCCGCAAGACGGAGCCTTGCCCGCCCGCACGCTGCTTGCTCACCTGGTGCGACTGCGTCGCTTCTCGCAGCTGCGCCAGGATGTGGCGCCCGCTGCGCTGCGATGAGCAGTTCACCTCAAATACCTGGACGGAGACACAGCTGGCATTCAAGCCCAGCGCCTGTAGGAAAGTGCAGTGCCCCCTAGTGTGTGGAAAAAAAATACCACTTAAAGGGAGTTTAGAAGTGGTTCTGTAAAGTCTCCTTTTGCAGGCCAATCTCTAACAAGGGGTCACACACACACTACTCTGCAAGTTACAAAGTGATACTTTGTCTCATAATACGACGATTATAGCACAAGTGGAATTTGCAAAATTACAAAAGAAACTGCTCAAAAGCAGAAAACACATAGCAGGTAAATGTTTCAAAGGCCCGTTGCTTGCAACAGTAGCCTACGATGTATTTCCTGTTATAGGTTAGTGTTCGTTATGACGGCGGTGAGGTGCTTTGGATTTTTCTTGTTGTTAATGGTCTGTACGTGTACTTGGAGGCATGGAGAATGGATCTGGCCACTTTATTACTCATTTGACCGAAACAAACTTCGACTTTTGGCTGGGGTGCATTCATGCTCATATGAGTTTTATACAAAAAAACGTACCGAGTAATTATCATTCGTTAACAATTGCAAATATCATAAAATATGCAAAAATATTGCAGTCCATTTTTCAACAATTAGATGTGTAATAAATTACTGTCCAATTTGCCAATGCTATCTAAGACCTCTACTGTATCCACAATCTGACTTCCTACTGATACCTGGGGTGGTGACATTACCCAGTAGTAGCGTTGTTCGCCGCTTTTTGCCGAGGTTAGTGGTTCGAATCTGGCAGGCTGCCCCGGTTATTAATGCGGGCGTATTAACCTTAAATACTCCACGGCATCTGCTTCACAAATGTATACAGTCATACCTCGATATAAGACCGCTTTGGAATATGTCGAATTTGGTATACGCCGTGTTTTGACGAGAAAAAAATGTCTTGGGATACGACACGCTTGCTAGAACTTGTATGGGTTGGGATGAGTCACCGCGTACCCGGGTATACCCCGTTCACGACTGAAACCAAGCGCCTTTCCTCAGTCTGCCTGTCCAATAGATCTCGTTCAGTGCACAACCCTTGCTATAACTGTGAATTTTCACGTGTTTGTCATTTTAACGTGAATTTTTTGCGAATTCATTCACCACCATCCTCGTAGGCTATCAACTCCTCTCAGCAAGGTAAAGTGATGTAAAAATTGTGTTTTTTCAAGTTTTTTTATGCATTTATTTTAATTTATATATGCATTTAGTAGTGTCTAAATTATTTTATACAACCCCATTAATGTATAATATGTCATATAAAATATAATTTATTATACTCTGGAACGGATTCTTTCCTTTCCCTTTATTTATTATGGGAAAAATTCGTTTGGTATATGTCATTTTCGGTATAAGTCCTACCTTCTGGAACGAATTAACAACGTATACCGAGCTACCGCTGTATTAGTATTAAGAACAGCAGTGATATTAATTAATGTAAACCGCACGAGGAGGCCGTGGGGCACCTTAAAGCCGAGCTCCTGGGCGCAGGCGTAGACGGCGGCCGTTTTGCCGACGCCGGGGGGCCCGGTGAGCAGCATGCCGTGGCACAGCGAGTCCTCATCCTCCGAGCTGCTGCTCTGATCGTCGCCACTCTCTGACTGGAAATCACTTTCAGACCCTGAACCTGCGCAGGCAGAGTACATTCAACAAAACATTGGCCTCTCAAAGCAGACAGGAGACAGAAAGAAAGAACTTAGCAATTGATTTTATGAATAGAACATAAAATAGCAAAAGCAGTCACTCACCGCGAGGTAGTGGTAAGAATTGTTTCCTTGAAATTTTTGAAAGTGAAACGTAAAACAAAAAGCCACCTTTGAATTATCGTCCTTTTTACGACTGGTTAAAGAGCTTAGGCCATCAACAATTAAGTTTAATTACAGGCAATCGTGCAAACTGAAACCCCAGAATCTCAGCCAGCAGTACCGGCTCAGTGCTTGGATGCACACAGCGAGCCCCACTCGAGTTGACGTAGACAAACGAAGGATCGCATCAAGACCATGGCACAATCGCAGGAGTAACCGGCTGTGATTGGACGGCCAGGAGAGGCATAACAGTCGATAGCAGCTCTCATCGTGTCACCTTTAAACATCTTCACTTGCGATTCCGTCTTCTCCCTCCGACTGGCCCGCTCTGCTTCCCGGTTGGCACGGCTTTTCCACTCTTTCAGCCAGCTGACAGCCATCAGAAACCATACCAAAACGTGTCAAACATGTGCAGGTATTAAAAATGATAAAATGCAGCTCAGAGGTCATAGGGCACAGTCAGCACTGGTTGGGAACCTGGGTTCAAATCTAAGCAGCGACCCATGACTTAATTAATAACTAAAAGTAATAATTTTCATCGAACTGGGATACCATTCCATAACGGGAGAGTCCTTGCCTGTAAGATCGGCAGTGAACCAGCATTCATTCAAGCATAACTGGCTGTGCTGATGAGACACTGGAGGTTGAGATAGTCCAGAGTTTGCGAGTCTAAATGAAATGCTGCTCAAAGGAGGCACTCCCAGAAGGCTGTGCATCTGATGGTTTGTGTACAAAAAACTTTTATTTTTTACATGAAGAGACCGATATGTGAAGGAGACATTGTCTGCTTAGTTAGGTAATTATTTAATTTTGTTCTCAAATGTAGCAATTGGATTGTGTCAACCCAGTCACCAATGACTGTACAAAAAAAACAATCAAATGACATTTGGTTTGCACTTAAATTGCCTATATTCCAGCTCTGAGAATTTAAGAAAAATATTTTGACTGTTTCGAAGAGTGGTGGGAAAGTGCTAGCCAGCTGTGTGGACCAGAGGTCATTCTAAAGGATCTCGGAAGCAGTTCTGTGATAATTGGTTTTTGACCCTTTTATCTGGCAACAAAACTGACACCTTTTTACAAGGAGTCATGTTTGCATTGACCACAATACCTGCGGTCAGAATGCAAACAAAAACACAACTCTGATAATTCTGTGATATCCGCTTCCATGGTTCGTTCTGTAACACGAATGTTTGCACTGCTCTGTAACAGATCCAATTGCATTGTTTGCTTTATTACACAATGCCTATTGCACAAATGGGATAAAATTGAGGAAAAAATTGTAACAATAATTGAAACATGATGAAGCAAAACCTTTGCACTTTTGGTATGTCGCGTTGGGTCTTAGCCATTCAAAACGTTACTCCGCACTGCTTGCGATGCGAGCGGTGGGCAGTGCCGGTATGGATGGTTGCATTACCCGTGAAGCTTGCGCACAGCTGCCGAGTTGCCGATAATCTCATCCTTGCTGCGTGGCTGGTATTTCTCCGTCCACAGCAGATCGTCACACACCTCACCTGTGAAGATCAAGCGTGTTGCCTTCATCATGTGAGAGCCTACCGAGACAGTATTTCCAGGTACGAGGCAGTAGGCATGAAACAAAGCGACGATTGATCCGGATCCCAATCTTATACAACACCAATGTGCTTAACGAGCACTTAGCTGCCAAGCCCACAGAAGAACCTCCTGGTTTCAACTTTCCCAGCAAACAATGATTCCCATCAGAACATCATACGGCAGATGCGGCTATCCCTAACGGAGATGTACGATTAAAGAGTAGCCCACAGTGCGACTGCGGTCATCGATCTCAAACCACGACCCACATAGCAACGCCACTGCCCGCATCAATCATTTCCTCATCAGATATTCACCAGGTGTGTCGGTGCGAGTCTGTGAATCTCTAATGGGTCTCCATGTAAGTCTATAGATTTTCACCAGGCTATTTCTGAAGCCATCCACTGGCTTACTCACAAACCTCAAGGGGAACATATGTACATATTAGCAGTACACCGGTGTAGCATAACACACCGGCCCTCATAAAATAGTCTGACGATGTCGTTGTTGCCCTTGAGTGAGCTGTAGACTCTCCATCAGAAGTCCCCATAGATTCAGGAGCTGCTTTCCCATTCGAACGCCTGGCACAAGTCATCATCTTTTGATGCCACCGTCCGCAAAGAAATGATTCCGAAAATGAATCAAGGAACCGTCCGACCAAGTCTAGGGCACGAGACAAATTTTTCTTTCGAACACGGAGCAGCCAAAAGACTGTGAGGCTTCGTGTTCAGCCACTGATAACTTTCGTCTTCAAAACTGCTCCGACATCACGAGAACTGATTTTGACGCACCACTTCGCAAGATTTTCTGACTGGGGTTGCAAATCGCAGGAATATAAAAAATTGTGAAATTTTTTATTTTATTTTTCGATACCACACACCACCGGTGTACCGCCAATATGTTCATTTGTATGCTGCTGATCAACTACCCTGCGAAAAAAAGCAAAGTCAAGCTCACGATAGATACTTGAACCATGTGAGAATTCTTCTATTTGTATAAGTTGTAAGTAAAGGTCCTAGATTTGAAGCTTTCGTGACTGCAAGGATTCATATTCTTAGGTTTTTTCGGTAAAGTCACGTAGGTAAAACATCAAAATTAATAAAAATAAAATAAAACAAAAATCACGTTTCGGAAGCAACACAAGTCTCCGTCATCAGGTGGGACCATCACAGCCGGATTAGCTGCATCAAGTGAGGCAATGATTCAATATGTAATCCCTTAACAAGCAAGTTGAGGGGGAGGAGAGGGGGGGGGAGCTAATCAGAATGTGGTAGCCAATGAATGGAACGTATCGGGAGGGAGGGGGGGGGCTCAAAGACGGCACGGAGTGCCAACGTACAAACGCATCGGGAGGGGGAGGGGCGGGGCCAAAACTGTGCAACGCATCGGGAGGGGGAGGGGGGGGCCAAAGAGTGCACGACGGCATCGACGCTGTTGCTGTTGCACAACGCCAACGCATTGGACAGAGAGGGGGAGGGGAGGCCTGATACACATGATAGAAAAGAACAAAAATGGCCATGTTTATACCAATGCTGGCTGAACAATGAAGAGATTACTGTTAAATACTGGGGATGTTAACACTCGGTAAAGTAAAGTAAGATAGTGCCTGTCAGATAAGATGGTCCAATTACACTTTTTTGGACCATCTTATCTGACAGGCACTATCTTACTTTACTTTACCGAGTGTTAACATCCCCAGTATTTAACAGTGATCTCTTCATTGTTCAGCCAGCATTGGTATAAACATGGGCATTTTTGTTCTTTTCTATCATGTGTATCAGGCCTCCCCTCCCCCTCTCTGTCCAATGCGTTGGCGTTGTGCAACAGCAACAGCGTCGATGCCGTCGTGCACTCTTTGGCCCCCCCCCCTCCCGATGCGTTGCAGTTTTGGCCCCGCCCCCCCCTCCCGATGTGTTTGTACGTTGGCACTCCGTGCCGTCTTTGAGCCCCGCCCCCCCTCCCTCCCGATACGTTCCATTCATTGGCTACCACATTCTGATTAACTCCCCCCCCCCCTCTCCTCCCCCTCAACTTGCTTGTTAAGGGATTACATCTTGAATCATTGCCTCACTTGATGCAGCTAATCCGGCTGTGACGGTCCCACCTGATGACGGAGACTTGTGTTGCCTCCGAAACGTCGTGATTTTTGTTTTATTTTATTTTTATTAATTTTGATGTTTTACCTACGTGACTTTACCGGAAAAAACCTAAGAATATGTAATTAAAGGGTTCATGTATGCCCTTGCAGCCACTAATTGCTACATTCACGGAAATGTTAATAAACCAATTTTTCAATGAAATTGTAACCAAGAATCAAGTGACAAATCGCAGTGTGGGAGGTGAATTGTTACGTGCCTACCATGTGTTTAGCAAGCAGCCAAAACAGAAATATAAAAAAATATTATAAAAAACAGTCGCAGTAACATTGTTACCCAGAACGTCTTCAGAGGCTTGAGCAGCCTTTCGTAGTGACTTCCCGCAATCCGTCCTCCCCTCCTCCTGCAACACAGCTGTAACGGAGGAACGACCTCTCCGTCTCCTCAAACTGCTGCCCTCCTTCGCCGCAGGGGGCTCACCTTTGCCATCATCATTGATGACAATCACCTCCTGTTCATCGGCGTGAGTCTTCACACACAAAGCAACGTTTAAAGAGTTGGCACTGGCAGCTGTGTATAAACACGTAGAAAACACCACACCCCCGTCATAATTAATGCTGTCTTGTACCAAAACAGGAAAACGTATATATTAGGTACATGTGTGTATACATATATGGAGCGGAGATGAGCACCATCCCACATTTGCTCGAGCCGGCAACACTGCGGCCGCCTCGTATGGCAGGAGAACCTGTCCGAGCCGACCCGCAGCACCGAGCTTTCAAAGCCATGGGAATTTTGGGTGGCACCTGTGGGTCCGCATAACCCCGGCACTTCTTGGGCCTCTGCGCCCCGGCACCGGAGCCATCATCTGCTTTGCGCTTGCGCTGCATGGAGCCGCCCGTCACCACTATCGCCAGCTCCTTGGTAGCACCGACAGTGGCCCCATCTTCAATTAGATGGATAGTACAATACAGGTTACAATGTAATGTTTCAATACAACTGCATCTCAAGGCAATGCAAAAAACAGCGGGGTGTAGGTATGAGGCAATGTAGTAATATTATTTTCAAATTCTGAGATGCGCTTGCAAGTTTACATCTGTGCCGAGTAGCGTATGGGTGTACGAGCTTAACACAACTTGACCAACCGCCATTGGTGGAGGTGGCGGCGGTGTCGCGCGTCTGCATCTGGGTGAGGAACCTCCGCGCTGGGAATTTCGGGTGCGCCGCTTTCACGTCGGCCAGCAACGCCTGCCGTGCCACGCTGGCCAGGGTTGACCGCGTGCCGGACTGAGCCCACGGGGATACAGTGAGACAAACGTACCATGTGCATTGTACACCAATCACTCACCACCTCTGAAATTCATTTTCCTGTCACAATCTGAGGTTGCGCTTCCATTCAAGAATGAGTTCTGTTTCATGTTAGCGAGGGTACGCACCTCGCGGCGCACAAGGCCTCGTGCCGCCAACCGCTTGGCCCATGTAAACAGCCCCAGCTCCAGGGCGGGCAGCCGCCCTACCAGCATCCCAGCATGCACGGCGGGAGTCTCGGCATGCCCAGCCAGGGTGCGCAACAGGGTGGACGTGGGGAACGGCAAGGACCAGAGTTCACAGTCTGTATCCAAACAAAGCAAGTAACGAGGTCATTGGTGATAAAAAAAAAAATCATTTTCACATGCTAAAAATGTATAGGATTTTGATCATTATACATATTTTTAAATTATGTTACTCTTGCCAAACTGAATCTGTTTACCAGTCACTTGGATATTTTACAATGGTGTGAAATCAATTGTACAAAATTATAACTATATATCAATGAAATATTCTTTCCAACAGCCCATCATACTAATTCACATTTCGAGAAGACATTTAGAATATATATACACACACACAATATTTATATAAAACGAAACTGATGGAAAGCAATGCCACATTTTCTGGCACAGTGCAACAGGGCTAGATATAGACGAGTGAAAGGGAAACAATTTATCCGGGTTTATCCATTTCTGGTAAGGCAGAGTTAGTGTGGCACGTCACAGCACGGCACGACAGAGCGCAGTGCAGTACTCTGTGCAGCACCGAGTGCGGTGCAGCAGAAAGCGGTGCATCGCGGCACAGGTCGGAGGACCGTAATGCGGCACCCGGGCCTCACCAAGCTCCTTCTGCTGCACGTGAGTGGTGGTCGGGAAGGCCTCGAAGGCCGTGGCGTAGGCATCCAGGGTGGCGGCCTCACGGGCCCGCTGACGGAGCAGCCTGTCGGGGAGGCCACTCTTGAGGAATTCGCGCCGCGAGCGGGAAGCCTCTCCATCGCTCGACTCCTCCGAGCACTCGGAGCTTCGGAGACAACAGCCACGGCACATGAGCAAGCAGTGAGACTCATGCTGCGTGCATACCACAGCTCGTGGGAGAGACATTTTTATACACGCCAAGTATGCATTCTTCCCCAGTCTGCACAGACCAGCATGGACAAGTATGGTCAAATAACCCCCACGACGCAATTGGCGTTTGGAGAGCCCCTCGTCCCATAAGTTGAGTTCAAATCCTGGTCGGGGGTTAACACAGCCCATCCTCCGTACAGGGTAGATAACCTGTGTACCACCTCGTAGGAAGTCGACTGTGGTCGACCGGGATTGACCGACACCCATTATAATATCCACCGCAGGTCAGCGCCATAAAGAGGAGCTTAGCAATGTATAATTCTCGTAAGGGCAGGAATCAATTGAACTCATTGTTTTTTTTCTATGTCATAGTGGTGGAAGATACATATTAGTTCGCCAAGTGAGGGCCCACAGAGACAATCTGGCTCTGGTGTGTTTACTGTGAGGCTTCTAACTCACACACGCTTCTATACAGGTCCAGGCCTCACCTGCTCTCGACCATGACGCAGATCCCGTCGCCTTGAGAGAGCTGGACTCGTGCCGACTTCCTTCCAAAGGGGGCGATAGATGCTGCCTTTCCCTGAGCTGCAGGAGACACACCCACACGCCCTATATTTGACCATGGACAGGCACTGATAACGACAATACAACCGCACATTAAACTTGAGCCTGCGTTACATATGGAGGACGGCACGCTGATCACCTTTATACGACATTTTAAGGCAGCAGTGTTCCCGCAGTGGTGCCTCATAGCAAAAAGGGCCTGGTTTCGATTCCTAACTCGGGCGCCATCTGTTTGAGTTTGTATGTTTTCTAGATGTTCTGCATTGTTATCCTTAGTGTTTTTCGGTTTCCTCCCATAGCTGAAAAAATATACAATCTAACTGGTATCGGGCAAACATATCGATGCTGAAAATTATCTGCAAATTACTCAATTGTGATTAGATAGCAACATCAACCACTACTGCGAACAATTCGCAGGATCCTCCCGAAAAAGTTTTGAGAATTAGTGATTCACCAACTTTCCTGGGTAAACAGGCGCCGTAATAATAATGTTCGAGCATCGCGACAAACCTTGGAGAAATTAAGTTTTATAATGTAGCATCCCACACATCTTTACGCCATGCAATGGGTGACCGTTGCCTCCGCCGAAATCAGATACCTATGGCGTGGCGAGACCTCCCGTCAGGCTTCAATGTCGCCACTTTCCCCAGGACGTCGTTGATGCTCCGCTGGCCTGGGCCCCTGGGAGCCACCCTCCGGCGAGCTTCACGACGACCAATACCACCATCCTCCTCTTCATCTTCCACTACCAAAGGCGAGCTCTGTCCACGGATACATGTTTGCAACAGCATCAATACAGACTGTACGATACAATACACAATCACCATGAAGAGTTGAATCAATACACGATCCCACATGTTGGCTCTCCCATCTGCCTTCAGGTCTTTTCCGTAGTCTTGCAGCGCTTTGTACAGGGGTAGTAAAATGTAAACTACCTCGCCTGGTATACAGGAGGTCGTGGCTTCAATCCCGACCCCGACGCCTGTATATTTGGACTTTGCATCTCTCCCAGTGGTCGCGTGTATTTTTTCTCTGGGTCCTCCGGTTTTTCCCTCCACATTTAGAAACATGCATTGAGATTATTTAGATTATTTAGCTGCGATAAATTTCCATCTGATGGGCCACTTTGTTGAGCTATCATTTTGTGGCCTGGTTGATTCTCAAAAGTAAGTTAATACTTCAATGGGCTTTACCTGGTAAGATGTTTTTAGTTTAATTTATATATATTTTTAGTGATTTGTTTACCTTTCATATACTTTGCACTTTTTTGTATTGTTTGTTGTTGTAACGTTCTTACCCGCCCCTACTAGACATCTGTGAAAAATAGCTTCATAGCTCAGCAAATTTCTCCAGTATAAATAAATATTCTGATTCTGTAATATTCTGCAGCATCATTGCGAGCAGTACAGTTAAAGTACAGTACTTCTTTATGATGCACACTGTATGGAAATCCAACGGTCAACTGCGAATGGTCGAGCCACAGAGGAGCGATCAGCAAAGTATACAGTGATCCCTCGTTTATCGCGGTTAATGGGGACCGGAACCCCTCGCGATAGGTTAAAATCCGCGAAGTAGGATTGGCCCCCTAGGAATTTCCGTATATGTGTGTGGGTACCAGAATGTTTAAAATATGTATATTTATACTTTATATATATATTTTTTTTACTTAAATCTATTTAATTATAAAACCTTAATATTATACATTCACTCTCTCTCTCTCTCATACGATACGTATTATGGTGTTCTAGACTCACCAATGACAGTAGTATCTTGAGACTTGGCTCCAGTAATGACGACGACGACGACGACAATGACAATGACGACAGACCTGTGCAGTTCGATGATTGTGATGATGAATGATGATGATGATGGTGTTACTGCACAGGTATAATGAGGCCTTTAAATCAGTTCGAAAAATCCGCGATGCACTGAGGCCGCGAAACTTGAACCGCGAAGTGGCGAGGGATTACTGTACCTCCATAAATTTGGCTCGAATGGTCAAATCCATGATGGGGAAAAGCCGCGATGGGTAAAGTTTGAGTATATTTGAATACTACACGGCAGCCGGTTAGAAAAAAAAAACACCAATTAGGAACAGACCGAGCACAAGGTGGATACCAATCAAATGTTTTTTCTTTATTTCTCTCTCTTTTCTGTCAGTTGTCATCTGGCAGCTGGCAATGAAGTTGGATGAATGTTCCTGTGAGTTAGACAATTTGCATTGTGGAAGCTCCTGGTATAGGAGCAAGGGATGCGAGAGAAAGCCCGTCACTCTCCCCAAAGAGCAATCACCCAAGCACCTTCTGCCTGCACGAGCGCCGCAAAGTTGCCTGTGCCTCCGGCTTCTTTTCCTCCTCCTCCTTCTCTCCAACTTTGTCGATTCGCTTCTTAGATTTCTTCATCAGCTGTAGCAGCGGAATGGCATCACACAAACAGAAGCAATGTTGGGGATAGCAGAATGGGGCAAAAAACTCGACAATTCTGAATATGTTGCAAGAAAATGCTGTAGATACATACAGGAAGAGGAGGTTTGTGATGGGTGGGACACTCGCACAGGAGGGAGGAGGGCAGGTTACTAAGTCAAACATTGGAGTAGCACCCCAAGGTTAAGGACCAAGAGAGCTAAAGCCCGATAGTGGGAGACTTATGAGCACATATTGGAGGGAGTGTGTTAAATGCGCAAAAGCTGGATGATGTAGCAGATGGAAGAGATGGCGAGGTGTGATAATGTAGTGGTGGTGTTGACGTGCGCCGACAGTGATGGATCACGGGGCGCGGGGTTGGGCACGCGATGTGGGCGTGGTATGGACGCGCGCGCCGGTGGTGAGGCGCGCTGACACAAGGTGGGAAAAGAGGATCGTAGCCAGCGCGCAGTGATTGGTCAAATAGGATGGGTGCTCTCAGCGACGTCCGCAGGAGGTGCATAAAGGGGGACGCGCGAGAGCACTCGAGGTCGTTGTTAACCAGTTGAAGACCGAAGACGGAGTGGAGGAGGTAGTGGCCCGAGACCCCTAGTCCCGCCGTCCTTGTCAGGACCGGGGCCCTGTGTGGCTCGGAGCCGAGACTGTGGGACCCGTAGTCCGACGCCCGTGTGGGTCGGGACGGGGGTACCCAGAGCCGAGACGGACACCCCGGCCGGGTGTGTTCCGGAAGGCTACGGGGCGTAAGAGCCCGTGTCAGTGTAGCTAAGTGGGTGTTAGTCACCCGTGTAGCTGAGTGGGTGTTAGTCACCCGAGTAGCTAAGTGGGTGTTAGTCACCCGTGTAGCTGAGTGGGTGTTAGTCATCCGAGTAGCTAAGTGGGTGTTAGTCACCCGTGTAGCTGAGTGGGTGTTAGTCACCCGTGTAGCTAAGTGGGTGTTAGTCACCCGTGTAACTATAAGTTGGTGAAATAAAAGAGTGTGCTACCCGTGAAGTCGTCTCCCGCCGAGTTACTACTTTACAATAACATCAACAGCACTGGGCATGATGTATGTTGGCGAATGCTAGATTTTTAGCTGAAAGAAACAGACCTTAGAGCTGCAGGGGGTGAACAGTTCTTCATCGGAGGAGCCAATCTCCACGTTTTCAGATATAACCCTCGTCAGCTTTAACCTGTGTGGGTCAGACGCCAGGGATCGTCAATAAAGAACAAACAATAAACACATGCAGAGGGAATGGTCACAACGAGATAAATAGCATTCTTTATGAGAAAATCGAGACAGTTCGTCATACCGTTGGGGAAGGGCAAAGAATGACTTGTTTGAAAGTTGTCAATGTTAATATTATTATGTAGAGAGAGCGATTGTGCCACTTCGGTAACCACACATGTAAGATATAGAGCAAGCAAATCTTTGACCGGATAATTTGTATCCGAGCGCTTTATCGACATAATCCAAAATTAAATGGGGATTATACCGCTTACCTAAAGGGGCCGTAGGCAGACAGCAGCTCGGAGCGATAGACACCCAATGCAGAAGCATCTCTCCGTCCTGTTCCCACCTCACCGGCTTCACCATCAAAGTTCAGCCGCCTGCCCTGGCTCTTCCGAAGCATTTTTGGCGAAGCTGCGTCTTCACCCGACTGCAGAGCGTCCCTTTTGCTTTCCCCACCGGCACTCGCCGGCAAAGCGTGCGCACATTTCCTCCTCGGACGAATCACCGGCGACTCAGCTGGCAGTTCCGCCGAATCTGCGGATTTCTTGTTCACGTCGGCATCTCTGGTTTCAGCTTCGCTCCGTGTGACTGACCGCCTGGTCCGTGTGGGTAAACTCTGCCGTTCCTTTACATCTGCGCCGTGAACACTTGCTAAAGTCTCATTCCGTTTCCTGGGTTTACGTCCCATGATCACCGCACTTGACTTGTCGAATGTCTCTACTTCCTGCTCATCCACTTTTACGGCATCTCCACTAGCTGACACTGCTCTCTGGGCCTTTTCTTTCCCTTTCTCGCGAGCGCCTCGGCCCGATAGCTCCTCCTGCTGCGTGGGTGACAGTACTATTTTTCTCCCAGTGTTTGTTGCCGGTTTTGATGCCTTGTCCTGCTTAGCGGGCAAAGTTGCCTCCTCTTCGGACTCGGGGATCTGGCCGCCACCTCTCCGCCTTCGCTTTGTCAACCTCCGTCCAGCTTCAGCCACGCACTTCGATGGATGTCCACTCTCCGCATCACCATCGCTTGCCGGGGAAACCTGCTCATCCTGCAGTCTCTCTCTCAGCGACGTGGCACTCTTGTGCTGGGTGCCACGGCTCTTGAGCGTGTTGCTCCTGGGTTTGGTAAATGCTGCCATAAACTCGCGCCGCTCGGCCTTGCTGCAGGCCGGCACGACTGGAAAGCCGTTGGCATCCAACTCCAGCAGCTCGTCGTCCACCAGTACCGCGACGTTTGAGTGTCGGCATTCCTGCATCACCGCGTCATGTGCGGTTGCTCCAGTCGGGGCAGGAGATGCAACACATTTTGATTCCGGATCATCTGCAAGTTTTTTTGGAAAACGTTGTGTCCCCGATGCCGTGACATTACCTTTGAGAGCTTTACTTTGTCTCCTAGACAGATCGCTTCTTCCCGAAGCCGTGGGCCTGCTCACCAGATCTGTGCTGGGCTGCTTCTTCTTCTTGCTCAGGTTGAATATATTTGCTACCCTCTTCTGCTTTGCTGGGCTTTCCCTAGGGGTGGCGAGTGCCTCGTGCTCGGGAGAGGAGTGCACCTCCACGCTCACCGTGACCAGTGTGGGCGATGCACCTCGCGTGGCGGGGGATGGTGTCCGTACATCCGGCATGGCCTCACCAGCAACGGCGCTCGACTTGGCACCGGAACCCTCACCCAACAATGAACAAAGACCAGCAGATTCCACATCGGGTGCATTCCCACTCCCGTCTTCAGATTGTTGGCAGCTAATGATAAAGTCTTCGTAGGAGATGGTCATCAGTCCCTCCTGCTCGCTAGATAGAGAAGTCACATTTACCTCCAGCGAGGTGTTGAGCGTGCTCGTGTCGGCTGCACCGCTGCTGTTTTCCCAAACTGATTCAGTTCGTCGAGCGGAGGAATCGACGGCTTTGGTGTCCACTGAGCAACGCTTCACTTGCACCGACGCGGCCATTTCTACTGAGGCCGAGTCCACGCCAAACTCGATCGGTTTCAAGACGGTGTCCTGGCTTGAGGAGCTGTCGGAGAGGAGCAGAATGTCCATCTTCGGGCTGTTTCTCACAGGTTTGTTTGTGGAGCTAGAACCGCCATTGCTCGCCAAGGCCGCAGCTTTTCTCCTGGACAATCTCGCACGACCACCCTCGCTTTGACGTTTCTCCTTCGCCGATTCTTCCACATCATCTTTCTTCCTCCCACTTTCATCTAGACATGTCCAAACAATTACCGTATTTTCCCGCATACGCATATAACACGCAGACGCATATACCCCGCAAAAATAGCGTTTTGTGTAAAACAAATTTCAGATAGTCCGCACCTCCATATACCCCGCATGCATTAATATCTTTAACGTTGTTACCGCAGCTTAATTCCATCATATTAATACAAAGTTTACATTTGTAATACATTCCACTATCAATTGTTAACATTCAAATCATAACGTGCACAAAGAAAACAAACTAACCGGAAACGAGTGAACTTAAAACAGTAAATATGTAACAAAAGTAAATATCCAATAAATAAGTAACACATAACTGGTAGATAAGTAAGTACAGTTTTAGCACTGATAGACAATAGCGGCACTACGATGACACCATTGCCTCACCCCCCCCCCCACCTCTCTCTGCCCCCACCTCTCCGGTAAACAAAGTGCGCCCACTTCAAACATTGTCGTTTCATTGTACAAACAATCTGAATCATTTAAAACGTGATAACATGTGCAATTTTAGTGTGAGTGGTTTATTCAGCAGTGCTTTAGACAAAGGTAAGTGTTGCATAGTGGATAGTCCTACCATGAAAAAATGTAACGAGTTATGACATGTCACACGTGTAAAATATTTTTGGGATAGCCCGTACCTCCATATACCCCGCAGGGTCTTGTTTTGTTTGTAAAAAGTGGTATACCCCGCGGGTTATATGCGGGAAAATACAGTACATGTAAAGTTACAATATCTGCTTGATCTTAGTTTAGCTGTTGCTATTGCACAAAATAACAGTTAAATACTCAGATAAACTACTATAGTGATGTTGTCATGTGACTATTTAATCATCAATCAACTACAAAATGCAGTTCACTTATATATACAATGAAATTGGCTTGGGAAGAGCTTCATCCAGCAGCGGATTGATCAAGGCTGATTATGGTCATTAATATGACTGTACAGGTGCTCAAATTTACCTCGATTCTTCATCGCAGCGTGTGTGACCTTCTTGCCATCGGCCCTGCCGCCCTTCCCCTCTACAGAGGGAGCCCTCTCCACCCTGGGGAAGTATCCCAGCAGATCGGCGGGACGCGGCACAGATGTCACCGCCACCTCTGCCGCGTCGTCCTGCTGGCGCCGCAGGGGAGTGAAGTAACTGGTGATGGCGCGGGGACGCACGACTCTGTCGTCCGAGTCGCTCCGGCTCTTCTTACACTCTTGCTGTGCTCGCTTCACACATCAGGGAAAGAATAAAGTCACTCAACTCACTCGCAGACACCAGGCAGCTGATAATGGCCATGTCAAAGCACCATGCAGGCACCATTGAGATTCTGGGTTCGCACCTGGGTTTTTGAAGCCTGTGGTTAAACTAGATTATCCTCACTTGTCGACTGCATCCCCCTCAACATATCCCCCTTCACTGACATTCTCATCCGACCACTCACACTGATGCACATTGGGCAAACAGTGACGCAACACCTTGGAATTCGATTAATTGTCACGATTTGATTCAGTAATCAAATTTTAATGCCACTGCGGTAAATGTAGCCCCTCTCCATGATGCAGCATTCACGTGACCGAAATACATACAACGTATATAAGAAACCTTGACTTAAAGCTTTCGTGACAGCAGAAATTCATATTATTTGGGTCTTTCGGTAAAGTCACGTAGACAGAACAATAAAATAATAAAAATAAGGTGAACAAAAAACAATAATAAAAATATCACGACGTTTCGATCGCAAAACAAGCAATCGTCATCAGGAGATCGTCATCAGATGACTGCTTGTGTTGCGATCAAAACGTCGTGATATTTTTTCTTTTTAACTCATTTTATTTTTATTACTTTATTGTTCTATCGACGTGACTTTACCGAAAGACCCAAAGAATAGGAAAACGTATATATATAATTGGAGAACAGATTCCGACGCTGCACAATTTTATGCACGTGTAATGAGCGACTTCCAGACTTGCAGGCACGACAATTACTGAGCGACATATGAACTGATGCATAACTGCAGGTCTAACATGCATAGTTTATCAGTTCTGCAGAAAGCATCTTTCAGCTCTGCCACAAACATAACTACACAAAGATCAGCCATGCTACCACCGCACGGTCGCCTCTACCTGATGTCCATAGTCTTCAACCACTGACTCCATAGCCAAAGCACCCACCATGATGTCCTGGATCACCCTGGGTCAGCACAGCAAACACGCATGTAAGGTTCTCAACAGGTACAACAATATTAACTACAGTAAACCAAGAGCAGTATATCATAATTCTAATAATAATTCTGTAATACCTTTATTGATGCATACAAGTCTCACCGAGTCAGACAGCTCTCTATAGGAGGCCTATATTGGGATATCTGGTTAATATTAATAAGTGTTTGTGAGCGACTCGCAATATGAAGGTTGTGAATTCGAATCCTGGCTGGGGTCGATTCTGCCCAGTATCCATCTGTGGTAAATACAATGAGTACCATTTTGGGGCTGTCCTATGGACACTCACCCCCGCCATAAGAACGTGTAATGTCTACCATCGGTTCTGGGCTGTAAAGGCAGATGAGGACCACCTAAATGCTGACTTAAGCAAGAAATCACCGAGGCCGACAGCCACGTAACTTTAAAAGTTAGACCCTGCAGCTGCAGTGCCGACTGTGCAACAGCTGCATGCTGTTATTGGTGGGTTTTTTTTACTCAGAAGGACTTGTCTCAATGGCCTCTCACATGCTCAAACACATGTGCATGCACTTACAATACATACGGCTGCATAATTTAGCATTCATACAAGTTGAAATATGAATACGTTGACAATACGTTCCCATTTGTCTTGATACAAAAACATAAATGCACGTTTTACACATTCCATCGGCCAGCAAAGCCTTCTGGAAGTACACTTTTGAGCAGCATTGGTAAAACACTTTACACGCACAATCCATGATCGGCGTTTTGGACATTCAGCAGTGAGGCTCGTTTAAACCAATGCCGATGAAATTGGCAAGGACCGATACACGTCTAATATCGCACTTGTACAGTCCACAAGGAGGCTCGCGGTGGTTGTCGTGCAAAGTGGTGCGATCGCTCCCAACATCTCCTCGGACGTCGCCGTCTAAGAGCCGCGCTCGTCTCGAAGCCGACGACCGCTCTCTGCCGTCACCGCGAGAGGACAAGTCCCAGGCCGAGCGCGACGCGTTCCGCCGCGGGGTTGAGTTGCTGCTTATTGAGCAACTCTGAACGGAATTGGCCAAACGGAGCACTCTCCTGAAAGCGAGACTAACCACTCAGACTGAGCGAATAAAACACGACAATGTCAATAAATTACATTGATCGGGAGCCCATCCAAATATTGTTCGCAAACATTGATAACCCATTATTATTAATGCGGGCGATTGTCAATTGATTGCGGTGGTTTCTTTAAAACGGATTCAACTCTCATTCATTCACCACACTGGGCGCGTTAACGACCAGCATTAGCGGACACTAATACACTGCTAACGCGTGCACAAAGAATACGCAGTCGCATCCAACAACAGAGGTGTGTTTGCGTGCTGCTAACGGTGAGGCGGCGGGGTTGTACAGTACTCACATTCGCTGTGCAGCGAAGCGCGTGAACGCAGCACACGCGGCGAGGCGCCGTGCGAGCCGCACGCGATGATGGTAGTCGCAGCACTCGCTGATGAACCGAGGTCACTGGGTCACTCGATCGCTCGGCCACTCGGTCATTACGATCACAACTCACGCCGTGCGCCGCAGAGCGCGGGAGAATTCACGCTCGCAGAAATGGCGCCAAAACCGTAACCCTCCCCACCCACTCAGCCTCCTTGACCCCGACGTCATCGCATTGCAAATGACGTCACTTTCAATGTTTACAAATTTTACGTCATTGCGTCGCGAATGGGATCGCTTTGCGAGTGACGTCACCGCGCAATAAGTTTACAGTTACGTCATCCATTGCAACCCCGGCTTGACCGTAGTTTCCGGATGACGTCATCGCTCGCTCTGTTGGTTGTGATTGGTCCGATTCGCTCGCGCTCGACCCGCCCCACCTAACAGGGTCACACGCCTCGTTTAGATTTCAGACGCGGATGCGCGAAACACGCGACGTGATTGGACAAGAGCCGCGACACGCGCTCGCGGGGACCAATAGGAGACGCCGCCGTGCCGGTGCGCGCTAGGGAATCTGGTCGCGCGTTGAGCTATGCAATAGAGCGAGCTTGCTGTCAACAGTTGGTGAGAGTTTTGATTTCACATTTTAATATTTAGATGGATATGATTTAGTAATGATTTCTGTCCCTAACTGTGATTGTTCGTATGCTTGTTACTGTTTACTTTGAAGGGCGCCGCTGTGGACTTCGGTTGTAACATTAAAGACTAAGTTGTAACGTTAAAGACTAAGTTGTAACGTTAAAGACTAAGTTGTAACGTTAAAGACTAAGTTGTAACGTTAAAGACTAAGTTGTAACGTTAAAGACTAAGTTGTAACGTTAAAGTTGTTGGCAGTGATTGAGTGGCGCACTCGGCGGGCCGCACGCTCCCTCCTCACCATCACCACCACGACACACCACTTACCATGAACACCACCATTCACCACCACGACACACCACTTACCATGAACACCACCATTCACCACCACGACACACCACTTACCATGAACACCATCACTACACACCACTTACCATGAACACCACCATTCACCACCACGACACACCACTTACCATGAACACCATCACTACACACCACTTACCATGAACACCACCATTCACCACCACGACACACCACTTACCATGAACACCATCACTACACACCACTTACAATGAACACCACCATTCACCACCACGACACACCACTTACCATGAACACCATCACTACACACCACTTACCATGAACACCACCATTCACCACCACGACACACCACTTACCATGAACACCATCACTACATACCACTTACCATGAACACCACCACTACATACCACTTACCATGAACACCACCACGACACACCACTACACACCACTTACCATGAACACCATCACTACACACCACTTACCATGAACACCACCACTACACACCACTTACCACGAACACCACCACTACACACCACTTACCATGAACACCATCACTACACACCACTTACCATGAACACCATCACTACACACCACTTACCATGAACACCACCACGACACACCACTACACACCACTTACCATGAACACCACCACTACACACCACTTACCATGAACACCACCACTACACACCACTACACACCACTTACCATGAACACCACCACGACACACCACTACACACCACTTACCACGAACACCACCACTACACACCACTTACCATGAACACCACCACTACACACCACTACACACCACTTACCATGAACACCACCACGACACACCACTTACCACGAACACCACCACTACACACCACTTACCATGAACACCACCACTACACACCACTTACCATGAACACCACCACTACACACCACTACACACCACTTACCATGAACACCACCACTACACACCACGACACACCACTTACCATGAATACCACCACTACACACCACGACACACCACTTACCATGAACACCACCACTACACACCACTTACCATGAACACTATCACTACATGCCACTTATCATGAACACCACCACGACACACCACTTACCATGAGCACCACCACGACACACCACTACACACCACTTACCATGAACACCATCACTACATACCACTTACCAGGAACACCACCACTACACACCACTTACCATGAACACCACCACGACACACCACTTACCATGAACACCACCACGACACACCACTACACACCACTTACCATGAACACCATCACTACATACCACTTACCATGAACACCACCACTACACACCACTACACACCACTTACCATGAACACCACCACTACACACCACTTACCATGAACACCACCACTACACACCACTTACCATGAACACCACCACTACACACCACTTACCATGAACACCACCACGACACACCACTACACACCACTTACCATGAACACCATCACTACATACCACTTACCATGAACACCACCACTACACACCACTACACACCACTTACCATGAACACCACCACTACACACCACTTACCATGAACACCACCACTACACACCACTTACCATGAACACCACCACTACACACCACTTACCATGAACACCACCACTACACACCACTACACACCACTTACCATGAACACCATCACTACATACCACTTACCATGAACACCACCACGACACACCACTTACCATGAACACCACCACTACACACCACTTACCATAAACACCACCACTACACACCACTACACACCACTTACCATGAACACCATCACTACACACCACTTACCATGAACACTACCACGACACACCACTTACCATGAACACCACCACTACACACCATTTACCATGAACACCACCACTACACACCACTTACCATGAACACCACCATTCACCACCACTACACACCACTTACCATGAACACCACCATTCACCACCACTTACCATGAACACCACCATTCACCACCACTTACCATGAACACCATTCACCACCACTATCCATCACTACACACCACTTACCATGAATACCACCATCACCACCACTCTCCACCACTACACACCACTTACCATGAACACCACCACTACACACCACTACACACCACTTACCATGAACACCACCACGACACACCACTACACACCACTTACCATGAACACCACCACGACACACCACTTACCACGAACACCACCACTACACACCACTTACCATGAACACCACCACTACACACCACTTACCATGAACACCACCACTACACACCACTACACACCACTTACCATGAACACCACCACTACACACCACGACACACCACTTACCATGAATACCACCACTACACACCACGACACACCACTTACCATGAACACCACCACTACACACCACTTACCATGAACACCACCACTACACACCACTTACCATGAACACTATCACTACATGCCACTTATCATGAACACCACCACGACACACCACTTACCATGAACACCACCACGACACACCACTACACACCACTTACCATGAACACCATCACTACATACCACTTACCAGGAACACCACCACTACACACCACTTACCATGAACACCACCACGACACACCACTTACCATGAACACCACCACGACACACCACTACACACCACTTACCATGAACACCATCACTACATACCACTTACCATGAACACCACCACTACACACCACTACACACCACTTACCATGAACACCACCACTACACACCACTTACCATGAACACCACCACTACACACCACTTACCATGAACACCACCACTACACACCACTTACCATGAACACCACCACGACACACCACTACACACCACTTACCATGAACACCATCACTACATACCACTTACCATGAACACCACCACTACACACCACTACACACCACTTACCATGAACACCACCACTACACACCACTTACCATGAACACCACCACTACACACCACTTACCATGAACACCACCACTACACACCACTTACCATGAACACCACCACTACACACCACTACACACCACTTACCATGAACACCATCACTACATACCACTTACCATGAACACCACCACGACACACCACTTACCATGAACACCACCACTACACACCACTTACCATAAACACCACCACTACACACCACTACACACCACTTACCATGAACACCATCACTACACACCACTTACCATGAACACTACCACGACACACCACTTACCATGAACACCACCACTACACACCACTTACCATGAACACCACCACTACACACCACTTACCATGAACACCACCATTCACCACCACTACACACCACTTACCATGAACACCACCATTCACCACCACTTACCATGAACACCACCATTCACCACCACTTACCATGAACACCATTCACCACCACTATCCATCACTACACACCACTTACCATGAATACCACCATCACCACCACTCTCCACCACTACACACCACTTACCATGAACACCACCATTCACCACCACTACACACCACTACACACCACTTACCATGAACACCACCACTACACACCACTTACCATGAACACCACCACTACACACCACTTACCATGAACACCACCACTACACACCACTTACCATGAACACCATCACTACATACCACTTACCATGAACACCACCACGACACACCACTACACACCACTTACCATGAACACCATCACTACATACCACTTACCATGAACACCACCACTACACACCACTTACCATGAACACCACCACGACACACCACTTACCATGAACACCACCACGACACACCACTACACACCACTTACCATGAACACCATCACTACATACCACTTACCATGAACACCACCACTACACACCACTACACACCACTTACCATGAACACCACCACTACACACCACTTACCATGAACACCACCACTACACACCACTTACCATGAACACCACCACTACAACACCACTTACCATGAACACCACCACGACACACCACTACACACCACTTACCATGAACACCATCACTACATACCACTTACCATGAACACCACCACTACACACCACTACACACCACTTACCATGAACACCACCACTACACACCACTTACCATGAACACCACCACTACACACCACTTACCATGAACACCACCACTACACACCACTTACCATGAACACCACCACTACACACCACTACACACCACTTACCATGAACACCATCACTACATACCACTTACCATGAACACCACCACGACACACCACTTACCATGAACACCACCACTACTTACCACTTACCATAAACACCACCACTACACACCACTACACACCACTTACCATGAACACCATCACTACACACCACTTACCATGAACACTACCACGACACACCACTTACCATGAACACCACCACTACACACCACTTACCATGAACACCACCACTACACACCACTTACCATGAACACCACCATTCACCACCACTACACACCACTTACCATGAACACCACCATTCACCACCACTTACCATGAACACCATTCACCACCACTATCCATCACTACACACCACTTACCATGAATACCACCATCACCACCACTCTCCACCACTACACACCACTTACCATGAACACCACCATTCACCACCACTATCCATCACTACACACCACTTACCATGAACACCACCATTCACCAT